AAATATTTTATTTTGTAGCATATTAACTTACATCGCTTTTTAAGAAATTGATATTATTTATTGTATGAAATAATATTATAAGAGACACTATGCGTAAATAGCGTAAACATTCGTTCTATACTTAATGTTCATTTAGGGTATGAATATTTTGACGAAGAACATATTTGATTTCATCGAAAAAAAGACAAATACTTAATTAATTTAATAAGAAAACCCCTCTTCTGGAATTTTTGTAGAGCATCAGAATATTTAGGCACTTCAAATTACTTCGCTTTGATGTATTGTTTTGTGTACTCAGAAGAAACACTCACTAATTTTGTTCCTATATATTGCCGTTGCTCTGTTTTTTTTTAACTTGAATGTACTTAAATGTATTCCGGGTATTATATTGTTACAAACACTGAACACACAGATGTAACTTCTAAAATGTAAGACTGATTTTACAAATCGGCATTTCATTTGTGTATGAATGTCTTTTTATATTAGTTGTAACCGAGTAGTTTTATAGTACGAAAAGATCTGCCCTGTAAGCAAAGTTTGTTGTACTGTACATTAAGAGATGTGAAATGAACTTTTCATTGAACTGATTATTTCGACATTAACGAACCACTTGTAAACTTGTGATCACAATTACATTTTTATAACAGCCAAATTGCACTAAGCACATAAATACTTATCCTATCGAACTTAAAATTTTACTAGATGTAGGAACGTGTTTTATATCTTTATACAATTACTATTAAGAAATTAGCGAGGGATGTATACAATCTTATTACCGATTATTTATTACAGAATAATAACATTTGTAATTACTCTTAAGTCTAGTAAAATTTTAAGAAATAATTTTTATCTGATCGTGCATTCAAATGTTTGTAAATGATATTTGGAGAAAAATAAAATAATATCATTCATCTTTTACACACTGGACGAAAGATTACAATTATATTTAGTAATTAACGATAATTTTTAGTCGCGTATGATTACACCCGATTCTCTACGTATCAATAATGTGTAAGCTCTTCAATTTAAAATATCGACAAACGAATAAGTATTTCGTTCAGTTTGTTATCTATAGGAATTATAGTGACATAATGTACTCATACGATTTAAATGAAAAATGGGCACAATTATAAAAGCTACATAATTTATTTCTTCCTGAGATAGAATACATAATTTTTATTCGTGACGAATATCGTATACCAAGATTACAAATTTAAATTTACGTTACACATATTTCTGCGTGCTGCGATTGAGCACCTCTGTCGAAGAATGCGAAAGATTGATTAATCGTTTTTCTACATAGATGTAACTGAGAACCACTGTTCGGAATTCCTGTCTACTTGGTCGACAATCTTACGTTTTAGAGTCAGTGGAGCAACGATAAGTGCAATGTTATACTGTATTCCGTAGGTGTCCTTTGAATCAACAGGTATCTCGCGCAGAGTTTCTTTTTAAATTGAATAAAAGGCTTTTTATTTGAAAATAAAGTCGTAAAAAAATGTACTGTCACCGTTGGGAAGAATGCCAATGTACAGTCGGTCGGTGAAAAAAGTTCGATTTTCGAAAGCGTCCACCAAGTATACGGATAAATTCCTTACATTCCAACGTTGGTCCAGGTTCTCAGGAGGCAGCATCTAGATGAGAATGTTACTTTTGTGATTACTCATTCGGTGACATCTGAGGAATGTGGTAAGCAAATTCGCTTCCTCCTACGCTTTGCAAACTTTTTCTTTTTCGATACGCGTCCTCTTATCCACAGCTCTTCACCGGTTTCTATTAGAATTTTAACTTACACCTTTACTGTTAAAATACCTACACGTTCGATTGATATTCTATTCCCATTTTGTAAGGAAGAAATTTTTCTTTTAAATTCCCTTGACATTATTTTCGATTTACTGTAAAAACGTTCGCATCTCATTTGCTTTAATTCGGTCTGCTTTTTACACTTCTTTACGTTTCTATATTAAATGTTAAGACGAGTTTAAAAATCAGTAACACCTGAAGATACTGTTAGAAAATGGTTTATTCAAATTTGTTTTTGTTAATTGCGATTACTGGTTAATTAAATACTGGAAAAGATATGTTCATTTTATAAAATATCATTAGAAATTTAATTTTCTTTAATGAATGCAACTATTATTTAATTCGTGTAAGATCTTTGTATGAAAATAATGTATTTTGTTTTTGTATTTTAATATATTTTATTTGATTTCTTATGTTGATTATTGTTTGAACTTTTTAGAGAAATTTTTACATTGTGGAATGTGTGGCATAGGTTGATAGAAGGAAAGGTGCTGGATAATCCAAATGGATAACAAAAGCCCATTATGGCCCAGCATCTACAGACACAGCATCAACACGAATTCTTACCATTGTGCGATGTACTATTTAACATAATTTCTCTTGCCTCATACTTTTGCGACGTTGTTTTTGATTTTGCAATGGTATACGCCCTTGCGCATCATTCTGTTGCTCCTCCAATCCTTTTTCCTTTAAGTATTGTCCTTATAGCAACATCGTTAGTTATCTCTCAGGTAATTTGTTGAATTATCATATAAGACTTATCAATTCTTTTTGTTATAAGCAATTTATTTCTTTCTTTCGTCGATTTCAGATTGTCAGTGTTCGATGGTATTTATGGGGTGCCAGAGGAAGGCTAACTGGTAAAAATATTACGGATTGCAATATTAATGAAAAAAAGGAGAATGGGAATTGGACCATATGGTGTGTTTTATTACTCCATTCCACTCAAGTCGGAGTATTGTGGAGATACTTCAAACTATTTATTCCAGTTAATTTAACTTATGTTAAACACGAGGTGAATTTAGTTTCTCTAAATTTAAAAGAAACAAAATTTATAAGGTTCTTATTTAGAAATGTATTGCTTTGTGTGTAACTAGGTGAGGGAACTTTGTGTACTACGTCTTATTCATGCATTTTGTGAAGCTGCTCCAATGTTGCTCCTGCAATTATATCTGTTATCCATTGGCGTTAACAACGACTCGAATACAGATGTTGGAAAAGGGAAAGAAACTGAATCCAGGGATAGCGAGAAGCTAGCAAAGTTGACTGCAGTATCTGCTGGACTCTCTTTATGGAGCGTATGTTGGGCAGTAGCTAGTTTTAGCAAAGGAGCAGCACGACTGCGTAATTTGGAACGTTTAGTACTGACATGGCTAGGTGTGCTGGCACAGCTAGCCTGGAGACTGGGAACTGTAAGTGCTAGAGTAGGAGTATTGGTAGCTTATGCTTCACTCTATGGTGGACAGTGGCTGTTAATTGTCATGGCTCTCCACTGGCTATCAATGTTGATGTGGCTGCTGCTCACTCCAGATGGTCTTTTTCATGGTGGTGAACATTTGCCTGTCTTAAGGAAAACTTCGTTGGCCTCTCTTCTTGCCTTTGTTTACATATTTGCGTATGTAAATCTGCATGAAACAAATCATCGGCAAAAAATGGTAAGTTGCATATATTTACCGTGTAATAATATTAATAATAATAATAATATTTATATTTATATCACTAATATTCATGTATCTATACAGGTAATATTTTATACAGTAATGTTTTTGGAAAACAGTTTGCTTATTGGTGTGTGGATAGTAGGTGTTAATAGAAGCGATCTCCTTCCGCACCAACACCATCCGAATCCTGTAACTCTAGTACTTACATTGCTAGCTTTATTTTTTGGTGGTATGTTTTTTATGGGCCTTTATTACAGGTAATTATGAACATTTACAATTTATTACTTCATAAAACATGTTTCGAATTATTAATTCATTCATTCATTTATTTTATATTTAGATTTTTTCATGTAAGGAGGTTGAGGTATGAAGCTGGCGGTAGAATGACAGCTTCGAATCTCACAACATTGCCAAGTCAGGTACATAAATAATTTAAGTAGAGGCATGAAGAATATTTAACAGCAACAATTACTGTTGATTCTACAACAAGCAAATGATGTTTGTAGGATAATCTGGAAGAGAAACAAATAGATTATACAGAAGAAAAGAAAATAAATATGAATATAGGGATGAGGCGAGTTAAATTGAGTAATGGTGGGATACCAGGAGTATTCAATTGCCGTTTTACTAATCCAACTGCAGTAAATCCTAATCGAAAGAAAAAGAAACCGACTACTTTCGTTCCACCGCCGTCGCAATCTCAAACAGGAACAGTTACAGCTTCTATGAATGCTGTAGGAGATGCGAAGCAATGGTTGGGTATGAATAGTAGTTCGCGTCAATTAATACCGTTTTGGAAAAAGTCCGTGACGTCTTCTGGTGTATTACAGGTAACGAAATATTTCATTAATGCTTCTTTGAAATTTGTAACTATACATTCTTTCTTCAACTTACATTCAATAATTTCTTATTTGAGGCAGAATGATCATTCGGACGAACAAAAGATTGGAACAGATGCTGGAACAGGTGGTTCCCTAAGCGTTAATTTAATAAGAGAAAAACTTCAAGAGAAAAAACAGCAGCAATTACGGGAATTGCGTGCTATACAAGAAGAAATTAAAGAGGGAAAATTGTTTCCCCCACCGTCAGCTTCAGCGTCTTCGTTCTCATCATCAGCAGCATCGAATCAACAACCACCGCCGAACACAAAGTTGCATACTTCCCCTAGTTCACCCTTATTTACGTCTGCCCCATCTGTAGCTGATCAAAACGGAGGGGTCACGTTGTCTTCGTGGCCACCAGTAAAAATGCACTGCCTCTTACCTCCGCCGCCGTCTTCCTCTTATTATCCAAATGTTCATCCTTCGAATTCGTGGAGGACGACACAGAGGGAAAGAGCGGATACGCCAGAAATTTTACTCGCGCCGCGATGTCTTCCACATCATTATTCCCATTGGGCGCCATCTGCTCATGTTAATCATAGGTAAATGCAAGATTGAAAGTTTAAGGGGAAATAATCCTGAGAGACACAAATAAATTACAGAATACGTTCAAGTCAAAACGGGGGAGAGGAGAGTTCAAAAGGCGAAGGAGAAGTGGAAGGAGAAATTAGTGATATGGAGGGTAGCCAAGTATCGCTACCTCGAAGTTACACGCTTCCTCGTGAATTTAAGTATAATCATCCAAATAACAACGCGAGAGACCGAGAACGGCGTGTAGGAAGCAGTAAGGTTACACCTTCGCGTTTCTATTTACCTTCTACTAATAGCTCTGATGGTATGTGCACATTAGAATTTATGTTATCGTTATTTTAATCAATTATTCTTTAATGTAACGTAATCCACAGGAGATGTAGATAGCGCAGATAACGAAGATGAAACAGATTCTGAAGTGCAATTTCGCGTGAAGAATAGTTATGGTCATAATAATTACATTAGTGCTGAAGAACAACAGCAGCATCAACAGCGATATGTATTCGAAGACAACGCTAAAAATGAGTTCTTGCATTCCAATTCGGATTCTACGGCAGCGGTCGTAATCACTGGAAATTCTTATTTAAATAATTCACAAGGTGTACAGCGACCAAATCAGCTTTTTAGAAACAGGGTTAAACACGAAACGAAACTCTGAAGTTCTCATTTTTTTATAATACATCTTCAGAGATAATATAATAGCTGATTGAAGAGTTGAGATATAAAAGACTGTATATGCTCTATTTTTATAAAATGATTCCTTCCTGTTACATACGTGAGATATGTCTTGCACTATACTACATGCAATTTGAGACTTTAAAAGTGTAATTGCAATTTCACAACGACAATACATTTGTTCCTTGTAAAGGATGGTAAAAGTACTCTTCTTTGTACAAATTGAATGCAAGTTGGATAACCAGGTATGTTTATTTACATAATCCAGTTTTAGATGATAAATATATAGGTTTTTATACAAATTTAGTATTTTGTGCATTTTAAGTATGTTTTTATAATAAATTATTGACCCTTTTTACTGTATTTTATTAGGAAATATACTGCTTATAAGTCATAAGACTATTTTTACACTATAGATTTTAAGTATGGTTCCGTGAAAGGATAAATTATGTAAACATATTGATTATTTAGATCAACGATATTTATTTAATAATGTTAATATAAATAAATAAATCTGTCTTCGCATTTACATCTTAAAATAGTTAAAATAGAGTTTAAAATACTTCAGTCTTTTTACCCGAAATATTACATGCACATTTGCATGTGCACTCTTCCTTATATTATAATGTATTAAATGTATGTTATAAATGAAGATTTTTAAAAATAATATTGGAGAAATTCTCCATATTTACAAGAAAAATTTTTGATATAAAATGTTTGAATTCAATACTTTTGAAAATTGAAACAGTGTACAATTTACAAATATAATATACATAAATTTAAGTACATAAAAATATGTGATACAAATGTTTACAAACCTTACATAGTGTATTTTAGTAAATATTAATCATTTACAGATAAACAATTATATACAGTATATTTGTTTAAAAACATTTATATCCGTATAAATAATTTCTGAATTTATGCATTGTGCATTATTCTCAGGCTTTTTTACAGATAGGCAACTAATTTTTGTGCTTCAATAATAGTTGCAAAATTTGATAAATAATTGAGATTAGAAGTATCTTTTTTTAAATACAACAAGTAATGTGTTAGGCATAAATAATTCAAAGAATAATTTCATTCTTAAAATTTCTTGTAAGTTCTTTGTGCGGTAATACAATGGAATTCAATAAAATTTTCTCTGCTGCTAGACGCACGCTCGTGCCTGAAATATAAATCGAGAAATAATAAAACATTATTTTCTTTGTAATATTTTCAAATGATAAATTAATTACCAAGAATCGTAATAGATGGATTGAGCTTTCCGTTTGTGTTAAACAAAGGCAAGTTTTCCATTTTCGCAAATGGTTTATCAGCATTAGGATCGCATGGTGTTCCTTCTATGCGTGCCCATTCTCCTACATAGCTACTTTTTCCTATTATACTATGTAGAACTATAGAATGTGCTTGAATGTGAGCATTAGCTAATATAATTGATTCTCTTATTCTAACACCTGGTGCAATAATAGCATTCTGACCTATACTGACATTTGGACCTAGCTGTAAAAATAGTAATATTCAAATGAATTTGTATGTAATAAGTAATGCAAAAATTAAATGGAACATAAGATTTCTGTACCACTGCTGTTGGGTGGACTACAGCTGATGGATGAATATAAACATCACCTATAATTTGGCAAGATTCCTTGGATGTAAAATCAAGACATTTTGAACTATTTTTTTTATACAAAGCTAAATAATGACGATTAGCATATATTGCAGAACCTGCTGTCTTAACTTGTGACCACCACCTTAGTACAGGTAATGCAAATAAGCGACCTGTTCCAGCTAATCGAGTTAATATGTCTTGTTCAAGAGATATATGAGCTGGGTCTCTGCCATTTCCATTAAATTGTCTAGACATAAAATTTCTATTAAAACTATAGTATCATTACACATTGTTTTCCAGTATTTTACATGAAAAGGCATTATATATTGAATGTTAAAATATCTTACGTAAAAGTTTCCTGATGTTGTCCAGCATAAAATGCATCTGCCATAATTTGAAAAATATCAGGAGAAGCAAGATAGATTCCACAGTTAATCAAAGTCGAAACAAATGTTGATGGTTTCTCCACATAATGTGTAACTTCCCATTCTTTTCCAAGAACCATACATCCATAATTCATAGATTGTTGTCTTGTTGCTTCTGTGGCCATGATCGTAAGCAGTGCTTGTTTTTCTGTATGAAATTCTACTATTTCTTGCAATGGGAAATCAGCGCAAACATCACCATTCATTACAAAAAAATGTGTGGGGGAACCAGAGCGTATTTGATCACGAAAGTGATACATTCCCCCCGCAGTTCCCAACATAGTAAATTCTTGAAGGTATCTAATGACTATGTTATATGTAGTTGTCATTTCATGAATAAATTGAGCCAAATCGGCAGTAAGGTATGAACCAATTATTAATATTTCACTAAGATTTTGTACCTTTGAACATGCTTCTATGTGGTGTTGAATCACTGGCAATCCAGCAATTGGAAATAATGGTTTTGGTATATCCAAGGAAAGGGGTCTAAATCTGGTTCCTGTAAAGCATATCTTATGTATAACAATTATTAGTAAAGTTACATATATTATTTCGTGACAGGAATGAATCTTTCAGAACTAGCGAATGTATATTTACAATTAGATTTTAGGTTAAATTACTTTGTATGTTGCAAAATTTATAATAGAAGTAATTTTATGTAAAGAAAACAAACCTTTCGAGGGGCCTCCAATTAATATAACAGCTTTTAGTATCATTTTTTATATAATTTACAAATTTGGTTACAATTATAAAGAATACTTGCCACGATGACAAAAATCAATATACTGATAGATTTAGGAACACTCAAAAATGTTTGGTTCATAAATTCCAAATCAGTAGATAGGATAAGAACTAGAACTTCCTAACTGTACAACTTTTGGTTTGACCAAAAGAAAATAGAACAATTACTAAAATATATTAAATATAATATAGTCAAAATATAGTACTTAAAGTAGTACTTTTCTTACCATTCTTTCAATATAAAGGTATAAATTTCAATGTAGACAATTGGAAAAGAATTCCAAGATTTATTTTCACTTGTAATTACAAAATATTTATATAAAAAATTAACGAAATAGAAATTCTATAGAGAAACGTACTGTATATAGTAACAGTTAATATTATAGTATCTGTAATCATAATTCATTTTAATGAATGTGCCTGATGCTGATGTTATTGAACATATCGTTCAATTATTTGATATAAAAAATATAGTACTTGTAATATATATGATTAGACATATGTAACATAGTTAAATGTATATTGATAGTATAACATTTCTTTGCTGTCAGTATTTCTTAATTACATCTGTGTTCTAATAGTTATTGTTTACTTTATAAACCAGGTAACACCACATTCAAAAAATTCATGCATATTTCAAATCCGAGGAAACATGCTGCATTTGCTGGAAAAGCCCGGAGCATCACAGGTGTACATCCTTTGTATAAAGCTGTTAATCCCTCCTTTTTCATTAAAACTACAAAGACATCTCGAATTCCTCGTTTGTAAGTACCATCTGGAGCTATACAAAATTTATGTAATAATTTATTAGATTATATAATATGTAATTTCTATAAATAATTCATAAAGTAATTTTAACAGTTATACATACCACTTTGTAAACGACTTTTTAATACATCAGGTGGCATTCCAACAATCCAATTGGCAATACCAGCTGAACCACCAGCAAATATCGTAGGTAATAATCCAAGGGTACCATCATTTGGTGTCAACCAATCTTTTAGACATTCATATGTCATAAAATACATTCCACTAGCAGGAATATCTAAAAGTTTCAACAAAATCTTATACTCAAAAAGAAGCCAGAGAATATTTGACATATTTCATGATGAAAAAAATATAGTAACACAATGGAAAATAGGATACAATAATTTTGAAAAAAGATTAAGTTCCACCTGAATCTACATAATCCGAGCATCTTGTGAAAACGTTATTTATAATTATAAAACAAGAATAGTGTGCGTGGGCTGCTAGATAGGAAACATCCTGTTTGATAGGGGACATCAAGGCAGAAAGATAACAGTTAACAAAATTCAGTTTCCTTCGAACCAGCGTACCATTACTGGTTTTAAGATCCATTTTTCTTTGTTCTTCAAGTTCCAAACGGATAATGACGGTTATTTTAATTCTTCTGATCACTCTGCTGGTATATAATTTTTCCTCCTATTCAAATGCAGCTTTACTTGCTTCAAAATAATTTTATCCATGCAAATTTGAAGCTATTTCTTATTTGTGTTATTTCTATATTTATTCACACAATATAAATTCTTTAGAAAATAATTATTAATTGTATGTTGAATAATAATAAATATGTATATGTATATATTACTTAGAACAAGTGCTTTGGGCAGATAATTGATATCGGTAGTGTCTGGGAAGTGAAATGTCCACAAGGATGTTCTTGTGAGGTTCAACGATTTGCAGATCTGCCTCTACAACGTTGGATTCGAACAAACCAAGATCAGGTATGAGGATTATTTGTATTTTTATCTTTCACGATCTAATCAATCTTTTTTCAACAGACGTTATCCAGTGATGTCGATTTAGAATTTGGTTTGCACATGGATCATTCCATGATTACAGAATTTTTGAAGGTAGCAATCTGTGTTGTTGCAGAAGATTATGAAGAACTTTTAGAAAAACTTCCTTCCGATATACAAGTGAATATTACTAGATATTTAAATTTTCTATTATGTATCAGAAAAATTCATATACATATGTACATATCCACTTTCCAGATTTTTACCATACTCGAGTCAGGTGTGGGAGATTTTGAAATTCTCCTGCAATCTACAACATTTCAACGTTTTACAGATTTAATATCATTAGACATACAAGGCATAGATTATGATGCATCTGGACAAAAGAATTTGAATAATGAACACAGAAAGCAAGGTGGAATTATCTTATCCATTGATTCTTTGTACCCGTTAGGTTTAAATCTTCTTTATTTAAATCTGGAGCGAGTGAAGCTGACAAGTTTAAGCCCAACAAAAAGAAACAAAGCTAATCTCGTAATTAAACCAATGAACACTATCGTTGATGAGGAAAATAGGAACAAACAGTTACTAAATACAGGACATAGGTTGATCTTTTTAAGTCAACAAAATAGCGACGACAGTAATGACAAGGAAATACTTCCTTATGATATTTATAAGCAAGAAATGGAAGGTTACAGAGAAACTGTTGGACTTTTTACCGATTTAGGAAGTTTAACTCATTTAAGAGTTTATGACTGTGCTTTGCAAGACATATCATGGCATATGTTTGATGGTTTGAATAGTCTTGTCCATCTTTCATTGGAGAAAAACAATCTAAAATTTATTCCAGAATTTTGTTTTTATGGTACACCAAATTTAAAAGTACTTTCACTTGCAAGTAACCAATTGTTGACGCTTAAAAGTGTTGACTTAGCAGGTTTACTAATGCTTGAAAATCTTGATTTAAGAGGAAATAACTTAACTTTCTTATCAGAATTGTCTCTGCCTCCCTTTCCAATGCTAAAAGTAGCAGATTTTCGAGAAAATCCTTTGGATTCAGTATTTCCAAGGTAATTAGAAATATTATTTAATACAGCTTTTAACGAATAATATAATATGTAAATAAATAAATGCTAAAAAATATGTTTTGTTTTAGTACTTTTGAAATCATGAATACAACAGTAAAGTTATACTTGGGAGGAGAATACTCAAAATTATATTTACAGAAGAATTCCTTTTTAGGATTACATCAACTTGAAATCCTACATTTATACAATCTGGAAATACTTGTATTGGAACGCTTTGTATTTCAAGGAATGCCAGAGTTACTAGAGTTAAAAGCACGTGGAAATATTTCAAGTATTGAATTTGATGCATTTGTAGATTTAATCAAATTATTGGATCTTGATCTAAGTTACTGCCATATTCGTAAAATATCCATGGATGCTTTTTATGGATTGGAAAACGTTAAGCGTATAGATTTATCTAATAACGAGTTAGAGTTCATTCCACCTGGTCTCTTTGGAATACAACAACAAAAGGAGCTTAAAGAAATTATTCTTTCGAAAAATAAATTAATAACTCTACCTCTAGATTTTTTCAAAATGTTGCGTAATCTAAATAAACAGCAACAATTAACAACTATAAGATTAGATGGTAATCCATGGGATTGTACTTGTTCTATGACTACATGGAATCCTCAATTGGTAAACATAACAAGCTGCTTTTTAATATGTAGTTGCATTCAAATGTGTTAATTAAAACTGTTTGCATTTCTGCCCATCACAGGTAAACAGATTACGAGAAACAGCACCACGCTGTTCAACACCAAAAAGATTGCGAAATTGGGGTGTTTTCTATGCATTGCGAAAAGGAGGTTTACAGTGCAGAACTTTAAGAAGAAGACATTTAAAAAAATCTTCTATTGGAAGAAACTCTTATGAAGATAACAACATTATCAGTTAGCTAATTTTCAAGTAATTAATATTTGTGTATAAAAATAACAAAATTAAAAAGCGGGAAAATTCCTAATTTTCGGCTTTTATGAATTTATTTTTTTGAATACATAATTTTTAGTATTTGCATGATTAAGTATAATCTAATTAATTCTGTACCATAAACTGTGCATAGATAGATACATATAATTACATACAAAAACAGAAAATTGCAAATGGTAAAAAGAGACATGGAATGCAGTGGGAAAAGGTAACGTGTGTAGTATGTTCGTTACAAAAATAAATGAAAAGAAAAATGATAAATTGATTTCACATACCTCTCAAAAGAGTAGCACAGGTACCTTTATATATACTTCTTATTCCTCCCTCTTTATAGAGCTGTTTCATACAGTCGATTGGCCCCTTGTATTTTGGTTTTGTATCACCTTGTTGTATTTGTAGAAGACATTTTATTCTTTCACCTGGTGCCATTATAAAGGTTGTGAAGATTCCACTAAACGCACCAGCAGCAAATAATTGTGAAGGTGTCAATTTTTCATTATCAGTCTTTCTTATTAATTGCTTGCCAAGACCAAAGCCATAAAAGCTTATAGCAAATATTGGAGCTACACCACACAAAGGTGCACCCATACCTATGAAAAAAGGAATGTAAATAGTCTGACAAATAAAATGTTGTATGTTTTCTTTTAGTTTGCTTACAATTTTTAATTAGTTGAAAAATATCTGTGGAATATATTTCTAACATAGCAAACTTATTTCATACCTTTGTATAAACCACGTATACCTTCTTTTGTTATTGTTTTCTTAGCACAATCAAATGTTCCGTTATATAAGGCTACTTCATTTCGACCTGGCACAGGCATAGTTTGAAGACGAACCTGTTAAAGATCATTTTTTTCCTAATATATATTTTAATAGTGGAAACATTTATTTCCATAAAGCTCTTACTTTTAATTTAATAGAACTTATAAGATAATAGCATATAAAACTGGTATAAGTCTGTTATTAAATATTTGTATCATAGAGTATTTATATTTGTTCGCTAAAGATTTTTATTATTATAAAGAAGTATATAACTTTTAAAAAATAATTGCTTATATGATTATTTACAATGTTTGCAATCATTAATGTTTATAAAACATAATCTTATAAGATAAAGTTGAATCTATTATAGCAGTTAATGATCTTTGAAGTGCAAACATAATCAGAAGCTCAATCCTCTTAAGAGGAAAAGTAGATAATACGAAGTAAAGCTATCATAAGTATTAATATTATCAGTACACACTGTGCTTATTTTATTGAACATTTCCATTATGAGAGCCAATCCTCTTCAGAGAAATAGAGTGAAATCCTAAGTAGGATTTAATAATCCTACTTGGAATACATATAGCTGGAAAACGGGGGTTTAATTTTGACATTAAATTTTGCAAAAATGATCATTCTACACTAAGAACATCTACATGCTATTTGCAACTAAAAAGGTTGATTTTTAAAACTAATTGTTTTAATGTTACAGTACAATAGTTTGTTTTAATATGATTTAACAATTACAGTTTATTGTATAACAATAATTAATTTCTTTTATTCATTAATAATAATCATGTAACCTTACTTTTATTGTGTCTAAAGGATGTCCAGCAATTACGGTGCAAATTCCACCGAATCCTCCGCTAAGAAAATATTTAACTGGACTTTCTTTACCCGACATTTCGATAATATGTTATTTAGCGCAAGTCTCATAAGAAAACTTATAAGTTAAATAATGGACGGTTCCAAGCTTTTCTCTTCTTATTAAAGGAGTACGGTACAAAGGTTGAATAAAGTAAGTACATTTAAATTCCTATGTCAATTACTTGATTAATAGAAACTGACAAACTAATTTATATTTATGTAATTATTTATATAGTGATTAATATAAAACTTTTGATTATTGTTAAAATAAAATATATTCTTTTGAAACTATACTGTAAAACATAGGTGTTACATATTTTTGGAAAATAAAATTAAAGTAGTGAAGCGTAAAGTCAATGAAAAATGTGAATTGCATACATAATTTACAATAAAGTTTTAAAACATTTTTTTGGAAACTATGAAAAGATGATTTCATATATGCCGCCAATCTGATGTAATAGTGCTGCGTGTATATAGTGTACTTAGAGTTAAACATTTCAATGATGCACAGTTCCACCTTTCTGAAAAACAAAAATATCTGCAGATAGAAAATTTATCACTGGCTTTCTATTCTTTACTTTACGTAATAAATGATTGAAACATTGCGTTGATGGCTGTGCAATAGTGTCTTTAAGATAATAAGTGTCAAAGAACATGTAAATAGTGTCAGGTGATTGAAATCATTAGCAATCCGATTTATGATTTTGCGAAAATACGCTCTTTTTTTCAATTTTTCGTGCCTTCATATTTTTCAATGCAATAGTTTAATTTTTATAAAGAGATCAAAAACGACGAATGTCTTTTTTTGTTAATTCTGTTCGACCTTGTTACAATTTACTACAATTTTGTCACATGCGTGTGATGACAGTAATTAGTTGTATTGAACAGTCTCAAATAACTCTTATACTCTCTCATTATAGGAACATTAAAAATGTCTGAAAAGATTCCCTCTAATCAACCACAACCTATCGTTAAGATAGGTCATTATACACTTGGACAAACTTTGGGCGTTGGAACATTTGGTAAAGTAAAAAGTACGTAAGTCATATTTCATGTAGTTTTAATAAAATATAGTTACTAAATTAACAATAACTTGTATCTTTTTTAGTTGGGGAACATGTCTTAACGAAACATAAAGTTGCTGTAAAAATATTGAATCGTCAAAAAATCAAAAGTCTTGATGTGGTTGGAAAAATTAGAAGAGAAATACAAAATCTGAAACTCTTTAGACATCCTCACATCATTAAATTGTAAGCGTATAATTATATTTATCAATGCTTTAAACAATTAATATTTTAATCATTCATTGTATCAGGTATCAAGTTATAAGCACACCTACAGATATATTCATGATAATGGAATATGTCTCAGGTGGTGAATTGTTTGATTATATTGTGAAACATGGGAAGCTTAAAGAATACGAGGCACGAAGATTTTTCCAGCAGATTATTTCAGGAGTTGATTATTGTCATAGGCATATGATAGTTCATCGTGATTTAAAACCTGAAAATCTTCTTTTAGATCAAAATCTACATGTAAAAATAGCAGATTTCGGTATTTGGATAGAGCTGGAATATTATTATATTCTAAATGAAAGCTTTAGTCAAGTGCAAGACATTCATAATTTTTTTTCGAATATATCTAATTTATTTAATTTTTAAAATAACGATAAACGAATGTCTTGTACATTAAATAAAATAAGTAAGCTTTATTTATATGTATTTTCATGTAACTTCAGGTTTGTCAAACATGATGATGGATGGAGAATTCTTACGTACCTCCTGTGGTTCTCCAAATTATGCAGCACCAGAAGTAATTTCAGGAAAGCTATATGCTGGCCCAGAAGTTGATATCTGGTCTTGTGGAATAATATTATATGCTTTACTTTGTGGAACATTACCATTTGATGATGAACATGTACCAACACTTTTTCGTAAAATCAAATGTGAGTTACATTTGTATATAATTATTAGTATTATTACTAATCATTGTGTAAAGACTGAGATGAAAAGATTCTTTTTAGCTGGAGTTTTTCCCATTCCTGAGTACCTGAATAAAACTGTTGTAAGTCTTTTGTGTCATATGTTACAAGTGGATCCCATGAAAAGAGCAACAATCGAGGATATCAAGTATTTCAAATTTGATATAATTAATTTCTAATAATTTTTACATTGAAATGTAGTAACACTTTATAATTAATTAAACGTTTATTTTGTTTTAGAAAACACGAATGGTTTCAAAAGGATTTGCCTTCATATTTATTCCCATCCCCTGTTGAACAGGATTCTTCTGTAATCAATATAGATGCAGTGAATGAAGTTTGTGAGAAATTCAATGTGAAGGAAGCAGAAGTTCATTCTGCATTGTTAGGTGGAGATCCGCATGACCAACTGGCAATTGCTTATCATTTGATAATAGACAACAAATTAATCGCTGATGAAGCTGCTAAAGCAGAGTTGAAGGATTTCTATGTGGCCTCTAGCCCACCTCCTGTAGCTTTTAGTCCCAACGATTCCAATAACAGTCCTTTAAGACCGCATCCAGAAAGAATAGCACGTGCGTTTATTCTAACAAATTTTGAAGAAATATTCGAACTTACTGTTCAAGTTTAATATGTTTTTAAAAATATTTATTATATAATTTTAGCATTGCGAGAACGACAAAGTTCACAAGGAAGCACATCATCGCAAACACAAGGCAATCGTGGTACACCAGTGAAACGGGCCAAATGGCATTTAGGAATTCGTTCACAGTCTAAACCTAATGACATTATGAATGAAGTTTATCGTGCTATGAAAGCTCTTAATTTCGTAAGCCTCATTTTATGTGAATTGGAAGTCACTAATTTTTTCAATAATTTAGAGTTGTCCCTTTAATTGTAACATTTGTTTCTTTCTTCAGGAATGGAAAATCATAAATGCTTACAGTGTTAGAGTACGTCAAAAAAATAAAATAACTGATGGATATAGCAAAATGTCATTACAACTTTACCAAGTTGATAGTAAAAGTTATTTATTAGATTTCAAGTCTTTATCTAGCGAAGAAGGAGAAGACATAGGACGTGGTAAAATATTATATTAATATAAATTTTATTTTCATATTTTATATGATAATTCTTATTTTAGATCCAACACTTCCACCGCCCCAAGCGACGGGCCATCATACAATGGAATTCTTTGAAATGTGTGCAGCATTAATCACACAATTAGCTCGATGATTTGCTGCTGAAATATGAGTCACCATTTTTTCAGAATCATGTTAAGTAAAGCTGATGTGTTTCTTGTTTTAATTATATCTCATACCGTGCAGTTTTTAGGATAAAGGGATCATTTAGAACGAAACAAATGGATATATCAATCCCATAAAGAAGTTACACATAAGTGAGAGAAGATAAAATAAATCCATGGACAGTTAAAGAATATTTTCCTTAAACCTCCTTATTTTTATATTTTGTTCAGTAGCTTTAGACGAATCATATAAATGTTGTTATTAAGAAATACAATTAGTTTTAGCTTGGAAGTCGGATAAAAAAATACAGTATTGCTACCGTAATTCTATGTTTCTAGGGTTTCTTTAACGTCTCATTTGTATCTTCATCGTTTCCCAGACGTATAATTCAAAAAATCCTCGAACAGAATAGCCCAATAAACTATCGAGTATCGCAAGCATTGAAGCAGTACTGTATGCTTCCTTGAAAATTAGGGTCTTATGGTTAACAAATTTGTAGTTTTCCATTAAAACGTTAGATAGCGCTGTAAACAACATTTCATAGCTTTTTTGTGTGTTTCATAAGCTATATAATATAATATTCATTAACTATTTTACCACGAATGATCAACACGTCTGCTCTCTTTGAGATATTTTAATGAAGCGAATAACTATTAACAACGAGTGTTCAATTTATAAAATTGACAATCTGTATAATAAAAATATTCTTCACGAAGACATCGGTAATAGAGAATTCTTCAAATTCTTGGATAAGAAAGAATTTTCCGAGATTCTCACGAGGGTTTCCGTTCTCCTAGCTCTATACTTAAAAGTACGCAGAACTTGAACGAATCATTGGCTGCTGTTTTTATGTCGTAGGTTTCAGTAGAATATGCTGGTTACCATTTTCGGAAGAGTGCAACTGGAAAGAGATTTCCGAGAACAATTTGTACGTAACTAAGCATGTTTAAATCTTCGTGAAATTTCTAAAAGGAACAGAAATAAGTGCAACATATTCGACGTGAGTGTGAAACCTAACAAAAAAAAGGAAGTAAGGACTTGCTTCGAACATGTTTGCAATCGTTCCGATCATATACGCAACTTCACACGAGACTCTTTGACAAGTGATTTTTCAAAAAGTTGATTGACTACATGTAACTCCCTGTTGACCGACGATTTTTTTAACGTATTATTTACAGAGGTAGTACGTTCTTCCCGTTCGAAAATATCGGTCTCAAAAATACCGCATTGAGAAACTACGAACAGCTTCGGGGAAGACTGTTTAAAAAATCTTACTATGCAGAGACGTTTAAAGCTACTTCGAGAACAGTGCTCTTTGATATTGCAGGATCTGTGGAAAAAGAGAGAAACTTATTCGGGATTCGAACCCGGTCCTCTTCGTTCTATGGTAGGGCGCTATTCGCCGCGCCATCGAGGCCCTGTTGCGTTTTTTACTTTTTCCGGGTCCTTTTCACGCACACATACGAGAGGCGCTCCCACGATATATTGATCAACAAGTACAAATTCAACACCACCGATCTTGACGGATTGAATACCGATCTATTGTAAAACAATGGCCGCTGCGTTCGATCAATATGACAAGTCCAGGTAAATAGCGATGTATTTTTTCCCCTTATAACTGCTCTCTATCAACTTGATTCTCAACTTGCCTTCGAATAATAGACAGTCGTATCGACTGTTAACCTGTAAAGTTATATCACGATGTTCGCGTAGTCTTTTATAAGATACATCTGAATGAAATCTCGTACATTTTTCAAGTGACCTTTGCAACGTTCGATATTTTAAAAAATATTACAGTCTATTAAAAAATGTTTAACTTTAAGGATGACAATTTGTCACATGCCAACTTAAAATTTGTATCCTGTGTTAATGTCCTTTTTATATCGTTTAGTTTGTTAAGTTCTATAAGTTTATATTTATTTTTTCTTTTAATTTTTAGTTGGTATTTCGGTGCAATGTCACGTCAAGATGCCTCGGATTTACTTATGGGTGAAAAAGAAGGTGGTGTGTTCTTAGTACGTGACAGCACTTCGATTCAAGGAGATTTTGTATTGTGTGTACGAGAAGACAGCAAAGTTAGCCACTATATAATAAATAAAATTCAGCAGGGCGATCAGATACGTTATCGGATTGGAGACCAAATGTTCCCTGATATTCCCAACCTTCTAGCTTTTTATAAATTACATTATTTGGACACAACGCCATTAATCAGGCCTGCTCCGAAAAAAACGCAGAGGGTAATAGCAAAATATGACTTTGAAGGCAATGATCCTGATGACTTACCTTTTAGGAAAGGTTTGTGTGCTTTGTTTCTTCTATTTAGGTTCGTAAATAAATGAAGTTTTGAAATTTGTTTATTCATTGGTTAACTAATATAGATGTTTAATTTATCATAGGTGAAATTCTTACAATAATTTCAAAAGATGAAGAACAGTGGTGGACTGCCAAAAATAGCCTTGGTCAAACCGGATCGGTTCCAGTTCCATACGTTCAGAAATATGAAGAGGATAACCATTCAGTTATGGAGAATAATTCACGCCCAGAAAGTGGAGGAAGTTCAACGGTGAATTCAAATTCTGTACAAGTTACTGCTTCACAAATGCCTTACCCAGAAAGCGGACAAGGGACCACTCGCAGATCAAATATTCAACGAACATTGCCTGCTTTTGCAAAAGTAAAACAAGCAAGGGTACCAAATGCGTACGATAAAACAGCCCTGAAACTAGAAGTTGGAGATGTGATAAAAGTAACAAAGACTAATATGAATGGCCAGTGGGAAGGAGAATTGCATGGCAAGATTGGTCACTTCCCATTTACGCATGTTGAGTTTGTAGATAATGAGACTGGAGAAGACAATCAGGAGATTTAACGGAAGTCTTCCAAGTGTAATGAACAATGAAGTTGACTTGGAGAATTCTATATTTACAATTTAGGTTTACATTAGCAGTTTTCACATGTACCGGTACATAAAATCAATCACTTTTAAAATCTTCCATGAAACTAAAATTATTGAATTGACTGTAACTTTGGCTTGAATTATTTTATAATACTTGATTGAAAGAACGTTCTTTTTAGAGTCAATTTTGTACATTATATCAATAGTTTTACTTGTTGTTTTCCTGAATTTGAAAGGCATTTAGAAATTCCTCAACATATTATATTTCTATTCTAATTAGTCCAGTAAAAATATTCTACTTAAATTTATTTTAGACTATAAATTTCACGAGGATACATTCTGTGCAATGTGTATGAAAATGACTGTTTTCCAAAAACTGTTCCTTCAGTAAATATGAAAAAAATACAGTATTGTTATAAACAACATTTTATGCTTTAATATTAAGGCGTGAATAATTTAGGTAAAAAATATTTAGGGAAAAATATAATAATATCTCCTATTAATAATTTGTAGTCATAATTGTCACTTGTTAATACAGTTCACAGAACGTTACTAATATTTCTCTTTATTGAAGTTAACAGCGTCTTTTAATTTCTCTAGTCAAAGCAGCAACATTAAATAATTGTATGATTGAATCTCATTTATTGATACTGTTCTTAATGCATTACAAAAGCATTTATTTCTTTTATGTACATTTCGTACCGGTACATATTTTGCTGCTTAGCCATAGGTTGTGCCACAGATGGAGCAACATTTTCTACTAAAATATTCTATTTAACGATGGAACTGTTAACCGCATTACGATTGTAATTATACATGAATCACGCTAAACTATATATTAGTGATGTAATTATATAAGTTGCAATTATTGTATAAGTTAAAAGAGCAGAAACTGTGAATTTACGTTTATAAATGAATCGTATTATCATCGTGTTTGTAAGTTACGCGAATTACTTGTTAATATGTAATTATACAGATAGTAGCATATTAGTTTTGTAAAAATAGTAGCAACTTTAAAGTTCCGCTTAATGCTATATATATATATATTGATTCTATTGTAATCATAGTCATAAATGAGTTAATCTAAATTATATATTATTAATATATAATTATGTAAGTCAATGATATAGTGATTTCTTTCAGGATAATGTGTCTCAAAGGTTTCTTTAAGATTCTGTTTAATGATAAAATTAGTATAAATGCAGTTATGTATGTATAAATACATTTTAATATATATATACATATATATTATTATATATATATTTACATATTATTATACATTTGTATAAATTGTAATTTTATCTTACAGTTTAATCAATCGTCTTTCTAATATTTTTATAAAAAAAAGAAACAAATTAGCAACTTTAAAGTTCTGCTCACAATGGTATGTATCAATCGCGCTTCATTATAATTATATGTAACTTGTATGTATATTATGTATAACTATGCAGAAGTAATTGGAATTACCTGCAATTCTACAGCTGTTTACAAACTGCATTGTTCTTTTTAATGATATACAACAGTATTTTTATCTGGAATATATAAATTGTATTTACAGTGATTTTTATATTGATTCTAATTTTGTATCGAACTTTAAGTAATTACTTAAATTAAGTAGAATGCACAAGGAATTGTTGTGACATAATTTTTTAAACTAATATCAAGAACAGTTCCTAAATAATTACAGTTCATTGAATTCGAAGTTTCTTCCTTTTACAAAACCAGTATAGAATACATTGAACATTTTGCATAAATTCACTAATTTATTGAATAAAACTGTGAAGAATATAAATCTGAAAAAGCGGGAAACGGTAAAACGACACCATTCGTTCGTGCAGTAATATGCATACTGACGGAGTAAGTATAAAAATTGCGCAAATGTTTACACGGAAATTTGTAACATTTTTATACATATTTACACTCCGATTTCGAAAAATGTAAGAAATAAGGATGTAATAAAGGAATGCCTAATATTGAGAAAATAATTCTGAATATATTCTTCTAGAAATATTTAAAAAAACAAAATTTAATTATTCTATTATATTTGATTTTGTTGGAATAGAAAGAGGATATACGTTTAGAATATACATTAATTAATGCGGGCCCCTTAAAATACCAGAAAATTAATTTTACTACTGTACGAACTTCCTGAATGGTCTATTTCTTGGATCTAAAGGTAATTCACCAATAAAAAAGAAGAAAACACGATATACGTCATCTTTGTTCAGTTTCTCTTTTCTTCCGCCATGGTAAATACCTCCATGATTTCTTCCCGCCAAATTTCCATTTTTACCAGACGCCAACAAGTGGCGAGACTAGTGGTGACAGCGACAATTGCTGTTGAGCCGTTACAGTTTACCTGTAGTATTGTTGATAATGTATTAAATTGCCTCTTCACGTATTTCATTTATGAATAAATGCGATAAATAAACGATAAAGAGCATTCGACTTCTATTACCATTTAATATTAAAGGAACATTTGAAAAATGTATGTTAAAGTGAGAACAATCGATGGTAAACAGGAGGCAATAATAACTATCTCAAAATTGACGGAGGTAGAAGACTTTAAGGTATTTATAAGGTGTTTATGTTCTTATTATTTATATTATTAAACTAACAAGATATTGGTAATATATAATATTTACAAATTAAATTTATACGAAAACAATTATGGACTAGATACTCCGTCGTAATGTTATTTATTATATAAAATTTAAGCACTTTAAGTGCTTTTATACTGGAAAGTTTGTTTGGCAATTTCTTCTATATAATTTAGCTGTAAGATACATGAATCAGCATATTTATACTAAACTCGAAAATATTTTTCAGCACAAGGTTGAAAAAGAGTTAAATGTAAAGGCAGATGTACAAAGGCTATTTTTCCGTGGGAAGCAATTAGAAAATGGTTATAAACTTTATGATTATAATATTAACTTAAATGATGTGATTCAATTAATGGTGAGAGTAAATATTGATGATGTGGAAACAAAGCCTACCTCCAGTAATGTTATAGCTATTGCTAGCTCAAATTCTAAAGTAGATATAGATAATTCTACCGAAGATGAAGGACTTGTCGAAGCAGAGAGCTTATATTATAAAGTAGGAGATGCTGTAGATTGCCTTGATCAAACTTATGGAGCTTGGTTCGAGGCAATAATATTACACATTTTTAAAAAGGAAGATAAACTAATTCATAATGTACAATGGGAGTTTGATGATAAAGCTCCACCTTTTAATGTACCTGAATCATCTATAAGACCGCGCGCAAGGCATCTCATACATTTTGATAGCTTAAAAGTCGGTCAGAAAGTAATGATCAATCACAATGTTGACGATCCTAAAGAAACAGGATTGTGGTATGATTTTATAATTTCTAAAATAGAGAAGAAGAGAAGAGCACAAACGCTTATTGGAACATTGCACATTGGACGGTAAATTTTGATATTTATTATTGAGTCTCATTTCATTCAGTGTATAACACACTTTAATTTTAACAGGGATCAACCTCTTGAAAATCGTAAGGTAAATCCCAGAGGCGAGATTTTTGCCATAGAACAACCAAAACTTCTTAAAGAGAGAACATCTGAAGATGAACAACAAATGATTAGTGATGGTAAACGAAGACGTGTACAAGCTACTTGTAATGCATGTTCAGATAATCCTCGTAAAAAGTGTAGGGAATGCGGTTGCAGAGTCTGTGCTGGAAAAGAGGATGAACATAATCTTCTGTTGTGTGATGAATGTAATTCTGCATATCACCTAGGATGTTTAAATCCTCCGTTAACGTCTATACCAGAAGAAGATTATTGGTATTGTCCAGAATGTAAAAATGATGAAAACGAGATTGTGAAGGTTATTCATTGTATAGTTACTTTATTTTAGTAGCTTTTCTCACAAATGTATACATAATAATCTTTTAAAGGCAGGTGATAAATTGAAGCAAACAAAAAAGAAAACGAATGAAAATAGTAATAGTAAACGAGATTGGGGTAAGGGAATGGCATGTGTAGGAAGGACAAAAGAATGCAGTATTGTTCCACCCAATCATCGTGGACCTATTCCAGGTGTAGAAGTTGGAATGTGTTGGATGTACAGAGTACAGGTAATTAAAAATGTATATTTTTTAATTTTAATGAAAGTTATACGTTTCCATAAATGAAAAATAAATTATAGGTATCTGAAGTTGGAGTACACAGACCACACATAGCTGGAATTCATGGACGAGAAACGGATTGTGCATATTCTATTGTGTTATCTGGTGGATACGAGGATGACATAGATAATGGCGATGAGTTTATGTACACTGGTTCTGGAGGGAGGGATTTATCAGGTAGATAAATTTATTAAATATTATTTGTTGTAACTTAATTAACATATGACATTTATGAAGGGAACAAAAGAACGGCGGAGCAAAGCTGTGATCAAACATTAACTAGAATGAATAAAGCGTTAGCTATAAACTGTAATGCTAAGTTGAATGCGAAGGATGGTGCTACGGCTGAAGATTGGAGGGGTGGTATACCCGTAAGAGTAGTTAGAAATTTCAAACTTGCTAAACACAGTAAATACGCACCTGAAGAAGGAAATAGGTACTAAGGCATGATTTGTATTTATTATATGAAGATGCTTGCTTATTTTACATAATATATAATTTTCTGTTAGGTATGATGGTATTTACAAGGTAGTAAAATATTATCCAGATACGGGTAAAAGTGGTTTCCGAGTATGGAGGTATTTGTTAAGGAGGGACGACCCAGCACCAGCGCCATGGACTAAAGAAGGTAAAGCGCGAATAACTGCGTTAGGCTTCAAACCCATGTATCCAGATGGATACTTAGAAGCAATGGCAAAAAATAAAATGAGCAAGAAACGAAACGAGACGATAGAAGAGGAAGAAAATTCAGTTGATTCGCGGAAGCAAGAGCCACCAAAAAAGAAGCAAAAGCGTGAGATTTATGAGATAGAAATGGAAGTTCTGAAATTTATCGAAGAAGATCAAGGAAATATAAAATTATGGGACGAATGCCGCCGAGTGCTATCGGATGGAAAAGCTGCGTTTTTGCAACAAGTATCAGAAAGGTATTGTATATTATTAATATTATCATTATATTTTCCGATAATCATGAAGTTTTGGTTTCTCTTGTTCTGTTTTAGATTTACGTGTCCCTGCTGTTTGGAATTGGTCTTTAATCCGATAACAACTTCTTGTGGACATAATATTTGTCTAAATTGTTTGAAACGTAGTTTTTCGTCTGGTGTACATTGTTGTCCATCATGTCGTCATCTTTTAGATAAAAATTATAAGATGGAAGTTAATCAGTCTTTATCATCCGCTTTGCTATTGCTTTATCCAGGTTACGAAGGCGGCAGATAACATTAACTTCTTGTGAAACCACAGTTCTATAAAATATGAATTAAACTGCGTTTTAGACTGTATTAAATAATATCTTTAGGTAAAAATTTGTGTTTATAATGAACTGTACTGGATTACAAGAGATTCATAATATATATGCTCATACAGGAATAGAGTGAATAACGCATTTTAAATTTGACTGGAACAAAAGCAGTTGTTCACAAATTCCACCCAAAATAATTATAGCTAATTTTATTATTATCAAATAATCATATCGAAAAATTGACTGATAATGGTAATTCAGAGGAAATAATACAAACATTGATTAATAATTGCGATACTTATTTTTATATTGATCATTGGTTTATATAATTTTTTATCATCTATTTGTAAGTAGTATAGTTGTTATGCATACTCATGAACTATTGTTATCAGCACATAAGTATATACATATGCATACATAAGAATGTGTTCAAATTGTTTTTAATTGTAATACTTAAAAGGTATAATCAAATAAATGAATTAATTTTCTGATACATAGTGAAACGTAATCTCTCTTACTAACAAAGATTTAAACAAAATAACGATACATATTTTTATCTTAGATCGATTAACTCGTAGAACTTTTCTTTTCATTTATATTACTGACCCACTGGAGATACTCTTCATTTCCATTTTGTATCTACAAAATAATTTTATATAATTAAGTAATTATATCGAAATTATAAATTGTACATGATGTATTTCATTGAAGCAATACTTACTGGCAAAGAAATTACCTCACAGACTTCGTATGGATGATTATCTCTGTTTAAAAGAATTTGTAATTAGTTACCATCGCATAATCTCTTATAACCCTAAAATGAAAAAAATTTCAACATACTTAACATATTTAGTTAGGGCATCCACGGTATCGGTCCTTGTTTTTATCATCTGTAATAAAAATAACAATTACAAAACATATTTGCGTTAGTCTTACCATAATAGACTTTATTGTATTTTCATATTTATAATCGTACCATTAATAATTCACTGTCCTCGTTAATTTCATTTTTCCACTCATATCTAGAAGTATTTATTAATTATTAGTTTCCCATAACATCACGCTATGGTATTACGTTGCGCTATTGTTTAATGCATAAGTATAGAATACTTACATAGATGTGAGGCCCGGTATTATGTTAACACACGCAGCCAATTTATTTTTCACTAATCCACTGTAAAATTTCAAAGAATTAATTAATTTACAGAAAAAATTCGTTTGTACTGTGGTTCTTGCTATTTCGTAGGCTTACTGTGCCAATTTTTTAGCAACCTCCTGCGTTGGAACGGTAACGTAAGCCACAGAATTTACACCTGCAAGGCTACTCATGTTTCTATAAGTTTGTGCGCTAATGTTTCTAGTAAAACAAAAAAGCACAAACAGTCCAAAGACAGGTTTGCACGGTACGAGTGACATTTGTTCCGAATTTTCGGTTGTCGGCAAATTTCTGACTGCCTTGAAGTTAGCATTGCAATTCAAGCGAATCCTTGAATCGATATTAAGAATCGTTTAACCGCCATTTGAAGCATCACGTTACTGCACAAGGGACTCGTTTTGCGTTCTTCGTTTAGGTATTATTTATATGTATATTTCATCGTAGTTACTCGTTTAATTAATGTATTTCGAATAATTCATTTAAATAATGACCAAAATTATTTAAGTAACGATACGACTGATATTCATAATTATTTACACAAGTCTGGAAGAGTTAGGGAAAAGGTTCGTCGAAAAGACATGAACAGGTACCATCGAAACCCAGTGTATACATATTATATTTAAATATAATGATAATACATAATACGCAAGTATGGAAGACACGAATTTCCCTTACATCGTAAAATCACATAAAACATTAAGTGTCGTTTAATGTTTTCTTTGTTATGGAAGAGTTCTTAATTATTCTTAACACGTTGACTACCGGTAGAAAATATGAGAACTTGTCCGGTTGTTATTATTTATTATAGTATTTTCTTGTTTTACCACATTGATACGCATGAGTGATAGAGAACTTGCTCTGACAGTTTAATGTCATTTTGACAGCTGTCTATACATTTCTCATTAGGGTACAGGGTTAACACATGTGGACTAAGTATATAGTTCATTAATCCTCGGTAGTCAATGTGTTAATATGGCATTAACGCTGAATCGCGATACCTTAAGTAGTTACACGCGTGTAAGTACATACACGTTTTTAACACATCAAGTCGCCACGTTTCCGAGCGTGTTGGATACCATTTATTATTTTCCATTTTTCGTTTTTATCGACGGTTTCTCTTACAACATACTTATCGACGAACTTAAATTATTTTTTCGCGAATATTCCTCGAGTATCTTAAGAAGTTAAGATTAATGGCTGGAACGATTGGTATTCGCGGATCAATTCGGTAAATAATATTCTCGTGGGATGTATTCCGGCTTGGGACTGCTCGGTTCGATTCCAAGCAGTTCCCCCATAAACGCGATGTATGTTATTGCCAAACGGAGAGTCTCGATCCTGGACAATCGTTTTTCGTATGCGAACGTCGGTACCTGAAACAGTAGTAATTGCGAAATATTTTAAAAATCGTCACTTTCAAATTAGTTTGAAAATAATCGTTTTGGAATTATTTTGAAGACGATCGTTTCTAAATTATTTTGAAGACAATCGTTTTCAAATTTTGAAAATAATTATTTTACAAATTATTTTGTAAATAATTACTCTACAAATTATTTTGAAAGCAATTATTCTACAAATTATTTTGAAAATAATTACTCTACAAATTAGATAGATCTACAGTAAGATTTTTAATGTGAGATAAGCTAGGAGTCCATTTATTTGGATGCGTCATTGTATTTAGATCAATGAACCGGATATCAAGAGAAATTTCTTCCACAGAGAGAACACCACATGAAGACATGCTGGATTATTTCCGGTTTCCCGTTGAATTCAACGTTCACGAAATAATCGTCCTAGTAGGTCGGTACTACCAATATTATTTCTATATGTTTCTATTGAATTTTCACACAGATCGTATACTCAAATCAATACTGTGTAACGTATTTTCAAGTTTTTAGATAATGTTTAACGCGATGCTGTCGATTACCGTTGCTACGATGATATTAACATGTACTTGGCGTATGGTAAATATACCCTATTCTTGCATTGGCTATATCAAAATACCACAGTTTATGTAAAATGTTTCGCTTGGTTTATTTACCATGTTTTAACAAGTTGAATGCCATGGGGGTCACCGATGACTCCCAATCAAATCGACTTACTTTAGTTCGCTCAATTAAACGATGATTATTCGAAAATATTTCTATATTATAAATAATCTCATCTAACGCGATGACGTTCAGTTAGATGGACGTGCAATTATAATAATGCAATTCAATCAAATGATTTAATATTTCATTTTTTCCATTTTGTGTGTTTTTCGCCATGAAATCGTGCGGCATTCGACGTGTTAAGTATTTCTAGCGAAAGTATTTCTAACTCTTCCGAGTGTAAAGGGTTAATAAAGGTAGAAACTCACTTTTCTGCGGAGTTTGTCGAACGCCTCATTCAAGTTAAACATTCTTCGTCTCTCGCGAATATTTGCGGCCCGCCTCTGCGAAACGGTTGCCACCCGTCGCCTTGGCTTTTTCGTGGTGGACGATGGAAGATTCGGAGATCTGCCGTTGGATGTATATCGACTAAAATCGAACGAACGAGAAACACCTGAAGTTTAACTTTCGAAGTTCAATGTTTCTTTGCTTTATTAGTTTGTCCAAGAAATAATAGCTAAACTAAATTGTACATCAACTGAAGCCTCAATAGATCTACTCTTACAGTTTTTACAGAGAAATTTCACAAAGTCAATTTAACTGCTCTTGGAGTTTCTACAGAGAAATTTCACAAAGTCAATCGAACTGTTCCGGTAGTTTTAGTATAAACTGTTCAGGAAACTGCGCTGCCTACAGGAGTATCCAAAGTCTCCTATGGCAAATCGTTTTCCATTGTCATTCGTGTAATTCTAATTACCTTTGATGCAGCAATGCACACGGTTGCCTGTACAATCCGTGCTCGTTCACATGGGAATGCGATGGCGGTGGTGCTTGGTACAAAACGGAACTGTCCCACATAGGATAACTTCCGAGTTCGCCGCTTACGTATTGCGACATGTCCGCTGTAATCACCTATTTCATTTACTCATGTTTATTTCTATCTACGGACGAGTTTGTTGATCACTCGAAATCAATAGGAATCATGGACCAGCTCGATATCCGACACTGTCCGAAATCTGAACACAATGTCCGCGAAGCGATTACCAATCGAGATTTTATTTAACACTGGAACTACCGAATATTTAACCCTTTGCACTCTAAAGGTGCCTCTCAGTCACCACTCGACTGGTGCATCAAAATTGTAAAATTTCGTATTTGACATTAAGTCTTGAGTAATCTGTCGATACGTGAAATGTGGAAATAAAACACCATTGTTCCCCTTCTTTTCCGAATAGATTCCTCGTTAAGTTAGTTTAAAAAACTGTCATTTATACCTCATAAAAATAAATTGAATATTTCTAGTGACAAATTTTTGGAGTGCAAAGGGTTAATACTAGCATGTAATTCGTGTAACAATTAGGACAGTCGAATTACTATAATTCACCGAATTAACACTAAAACTACGGGACAGGTGAAATTGATGCAGAATGTTTATTTTACAAGTATTTAACACTAGAACTACCGTACCAGTCAAAATGACTGGTTTCGACTATTTTGTTTCGCAATTATTTATATCTTAGAAGCATTGAAAATTCGAAATCATCTTGAAAATAAATAGCTTCACTCGAATACTGTAATGAATCTCTGAAATCGAAAATAATCTATTGTTACAATTTTTATAGGAATTACGTATCAATTGTACTAAATCCTCAATAGTTCTAGTGTTAAATCACGAAGACGCGTTTCCGAAAGGGTTTCAATTAAACCCGTATATTCCTCAGATACAAGAACACCATTCGAATCCCAAGAAACGTATCGTTCTAATTCCCATAAGAAATTCGAAATAAGTCACTCCAATTGCTCGGTAGTTTCAGTGTTAAACATACTCGAAAACATTTCTACATTACAAATGCTACACGACATTCGACAGTATAAACGCGCGATAATGATAACTTAACCCTTTGAACTCTGTAGGTTCCAATATTGCACCAGGAATAATATTAGATATTTTAATGAATCTTAAAGAAACTACCCTACAATTATTAGATTTTTCACACATCCAAATTTTGCACTAAGAAGGAAAATAAAAGATCTAAAAAATGTTACAGTATTTTTCATTGTCGCTAGGGATACTATAAAAATTAATTGCAGTTGCTGATAGATTACAAAACCATCTGGAGTGCTAAGGGTCAATTGAATTCTATAAACCATTTCACATATTTCCCTTCGTTTCGTGTATTTCGCTGCGTGAAATCGAACGTGCCAATCGAATCCACGCGGAAAAGTTATTTTCAACAATTTCTACCTACTGGTGCTTGATTTCCATTGATCTCCCACAGCGGTTCGGTGTAGCTCATATCCCGCGTTCTGTCCAGCGGCGCGAGCTAGCTCAGGACACTTTGTCGTCGATGAAAAAAAAAATGAAAAAACGTTCAGCGGCACACGGAAAGGATGCTCTTATGATTAAAAGTTCGTCGCCAGGACGAGTGTCACCTTCGATCTGAGGATGTCGAAACAACTTTCGACCGGAGTGTCGGACTCCTGTGCGTTCGAGCCCGCCCCCATCAGAAACTACCCTCCGCTACCGCGATCATTCACCATTCTCGAACGCCTGCGTGGTGGTCCCGCGGTTTGATTCGACGAGCTCCCCTTCGACGGCGTTCCTCGGAGGATCCTCGTTGGACAAGGGGCCAGGGAAAGAGGCGGGGCTTGCGGGCAACCCTCGTTACTCATCCTGTTTCGCAGAGGTTGAACTGCAATATCGGGATTATTGACCATGGTATTTTAAAGATGGACAAACTATTCGCCCGAAATCCTGGAGAACGATATTCCCGGCGATATCGTGCTCGTTTCAACGTCTATGTTTGTAAATAATACACGGCAGATATTTTCTTTGTTATATTCTAGATTTTCTTTATTATATTATTATATTCTTTGCATACCGAGAGAATCTTTTATTTACTTTCTCTATTAATAGTGTAATACTTTACTACTGACGATTTGGAAGAAATGCAACAAGATTGTACATTCTACTTGAAGTGGAAATTTCATTTGAAGATAATACATTGATAATAGTAAAGTAATCTTTTGCTTTGGTCCGTGGGCAATGAAGAATGATTTTTGTTCAATTATTCCAGAAATCTTCGTCACGAGGCTCACTCGTCGTTGTATGGCAAGCGGTTAATACGTTGACTGCTATGATGGTCACCGATGACTGGAGCTTTCGGATTGCTTGAGAACATTTGCGATAAGAAGATTGATGTCGATTGGAAATATTTAGTAATATAAACAGCTACATAATAGTTAACCCTCTATAGGCCCATGTAACTTTGAAGTCATATATCAGTATGTGGCATCTTGTTGATTTATTTTATTTTGCACTCAAAGTGGTGAATAAAATTAAGGAATCAGTTTACTTAAACTTTTATGCGCTCAGATGTGAAAGTTTAACGTCATTGTAACTTGAAAGTTACAAAATATATTCGTTTAATGAAATTATTGAAACTATTGAATACATTGTTAATTCGTAATCATATGTGGATATTTATTAATTTTGTACTGCATAGATTTTGTTATAATCATGAACATTAATTCGGCCCATAGAGGGTTAATATGAGTAGGAGTCACGTCTGAATTTGGGGGCGAATTGGATATCTCTCACTTTTCAGTTTGTTGCTTATAAAAGAAAGATATTTCGGTTTTTCAATCATTTGTTTTGCTAATATTGAAGCTGAATGTCTGTTAACCCTTTCGCTTGCAAAATCGTATCAGACTCGTGATGAAAATTTCAAACTGAATTTAAGAAATGCGAGTGTTACTTATATATTTTTTTAGTATAAATTGAATATTGCTGTTCTATTATTAATCATTAACATTTGAAGTAAACCTAGACGTAGAATAAACATAAAAATTCTGTCTTTTCCTAAGAGATTATTAACGAAAAAGTCGTTGCACCGATCATAGCTGAGAAATGAATCATAGGTCAAGGGGTTAATAAGAAATATATGAAAAATATGGATCAGGAATCATTTTGACTCGTCTGGCAGTTTTAGTGTTAACCCTTTGCACTCCGTAGGCTCCTCTCAGTCGCCATTCGATTTGGCACAGAAAAATTATGCGGTATAATATTTAATGTTAAGTTTCGTGTGATGCATTAATATGTGAAATATTAAAATAAAACAGCCTCTTTCTTCAATTTATGTACGATTTCTCGTGAAGCCGGTTTTAAGAAATGTTAACGCGTTGACTGCCATGGGGGTCACCGGTGACCCCCGACAAAATCGAATTATTGTAGTTCACTCAATGAAACGACGATTATATGAAAACATTTCTATATTATAAATAATGCTACATAATACAGTGACGTTCAGCTAGACGGACGTGCAATTATAGCAATGCAATTCAATCGAATGATTTAATATTTGATTTTTACCATTTTTTGCATTTTCCACCGTGAAATCGTGCGGCATTCAACGTGTTAACTATATTTCGTCGGAAAGTGTTGGGTATTTTTGGTAGAAAACTCTTGGAGTGCAAAGGGTTAAATTTATGTTACGCGTATTTATTTACTACCGTTGCGTCATTGCAGATTTCATTTGTCACGCTTCGTTTTAAAAAGGATCATCTTCTCTTCGGAAGCTAGTGTACTATGCCACGTGTCGTTAATGCAGTGCAATCGTCCGGCAAGTTTATCCTATCATCACGTTATGAAATATCTTCGACCGCGTTTGAAAGTCTCGTTTGAAAAATATCGTGGACTAAACTGTGAGCATGAGCCGTCTCCTTTTCGCTTCGGATCAGTTCAGATTTAACAGGGAAAAACTAATATTTAAAATATAGAAACAACATTTTTTTCATAGATTTCTTATTAACACTAGAACTACCAGGTGAGTCAAAATGACCAATTCCTAATTTTTTCTTTTACAATTATCGACAAGGTACAGATATTCCCGCGAAAAATGATTAACGAAACTAATTCGATAATAGCAAAACTGAGATATAAGTCAATTGAAATCTTAACAAACGTACGCTTATGGTTATTAGAAAGAAGTTTGTAACAATCACTTTAATCCCTTGCCTTATAATAACGCGTGAGACTCGTGGTGAAGATTTCAAACAGAACTTAACAAATATAAATATTAGTCAATTATTGTGAATATAAATAAAATATTATCCTTCTGTTACCAATTATTATAATTTAAAGCAAACATAAGCATAGAATATACCTAAAATTTGTCTCTCTTTTCAATAAATTATTAATGGAAAATATAAATATTAGTCAATTATTGTGAATACAAATAAAATATTATCCTTCTGTTATCAATTATTATAATTTAAAGCAAACATAGGCATAGAATATACCTAAAATTTGCCTCTCTTTTCACTAAATTATTAATGGTAAAGTATTTGTGTCAATCATAGTTGAAAAATAAATCGTAAGGCAAGGGTTTAAGCGATCGGTAGTTCCAGTGTTAAACTAGTGAAGTCCTAATTGAAACCGGACTTCGATTCATCACCAACAAGGAAACCGCATGAACTTTTTCCGAAATCTAATATATTTGATCCGCCGATAAATTTGATTCTAGCGTCAACTAAACGCTGAACCATTCTAAAACGAGTTTAGCTCACGCGTGAAAACCACCGATCAATCATCGTTCTTGCAGACAGACGAAAAAATGTCGTAGAACTTTCCTGGATAGACTGATTTTCAGACAAATCAATCCATAAACTGAGCTTTGGAATGGGATCGTAGGAAACGTCGTAACGAACTCTCCGTCAGAAGGGTAACATATTGTTAAACGGAGGGTGGCTTCCCCTAAAATTAATTAAATAGATATTAGCCGATTCACTTGACGCAGAAGTCCTCTCTCCCTTCCGACGCGTATAAACATCGCGTGGAATATCAACGTGTCGAATCCTATTGTGCTCGCCTGAAGAGGCGGGGGTGCATAAACTGATTAATATTCGGCCGCGAGCAGTCATTCTATCGGGATCATCCCTCTTCTTGTCATTCTCCGTTGCTGTTCTGTTATCGTTGTACTACGGAGTTTAGCATATTTGTCGCGACGCTACGAATTTCTATCGGAAGACCGTTCAGTCCGATTCTTTTAACCCTTTGCACTCGAGAGGCGACTCACAGTCGCCGTTTGGTTTAATACAGTTCAAAGTTCATTTAACGTAATTATCCATGATACGTTAACACTAGGTTTACGGGCATTTATTGTACAGTTTATTCTATTGTTCCTGAGGAAGTTGATATTCGTTCATTTAGATTTTAGAAATTGTAGATGTAGAAATTGACAATCAGGATTCATATTCGTGTAATTGGATCAACGAAAACCGATTGAAACGTTTACCAAATAATGGTAATAATACCAAATGGCATTGAAAATAAATATTAATGATTTAGCATTACAGTAGTCGTATTACGCTATGATCTAACTACTTATGTTACTAAATATTTTCATTTAAACCCAAGTTTTTTATTGCAATTGTCCTTCAGCGATTTGGAAGCTCCGGTCATCAGTGACTACCGTGGTAACGTGTTAACCCTTCGAAATAATAATCAATAGTCAATAGGAAAAGTATTTGAATTAAAAGGAGAAATATTAGATACTAAGATTTCGATTGATCGACATAATTAAATGTAATAATCAAAGTGAAATTTCTACAGAGATTCTCAAGAGCGGCTCGCGAGGAACGGTTTCAGTTGTGAAGGAAGCTGATGATCTCCTGCGGATCAATCTTCTACGAGCAACGTTCGAGTCAGCGTCACACTGGAAACGGTATTTAAATTTCTTAATTTATTACGCGTGGCAAAGGCAGCCGGTATTATATTAATTTAACGTGTCGTACATATTCCATAGGTTTGTATCTACCAACTGTAGGCGGACCTTTAATTCGAGTCTAGTAATATGCACTATATCCATAACTGCAAGCTGACGCTTTGGATCGATGCCACGAGCGTCGGCGCTGAAATGCTTCATGGCTGAATTTCGATGGTTTTCTAGAATGAAGGATATTCGGCGTAACGTGATATCCCGAAGGCCACAGTTAGTTTTATAATCTTGCGACAGAACGAAATAATCGAACCCAGCTCTTTGAAAACAGATCGCGCGTCGGTTTTACTCGCAAACACCAAAAATGTTCCAAAATTGTCCTCCAAATTGGAGAATTTCATTTATCGATGAGCACAAAGGTTCTTCTCTCTGGTACTTGTGAAAACATTCAATTATTAAATATTCTATTAGTTTCTATGTTATTAAAATATTTATACGGAGTTTTTCTCCGAGAATTTTTACAATTTAACGCGCTTTAATTTCACTCTTTCTTCTCTTGAGTTTACTGTTTCCTTTTGCGGCGTAATTAGTTTTCTAACAGAAAAAGGATGTTTGCATTTAATGAATATAATAAAAAGGGAACTAATAAACAGATACTTAGATAGAAATGTTTGCGAACACGGTATATGGCGATTGTTGCAGTTAAAGGGTTAATAATATACCCAATTTGATATTAATACTTTAATCTATTGCTTCAATTGTTCAAAACTATCGATTTTGATAAACCAAGCATTCCATGATATCCACGGGATTCATCAGTGTTTAGAAACTTTTATGATTCTTCGCAAAGCAAGAAATTATTTGTAACCTACAAATTCCTTATTAGTTAGTAAATATTTTATTGACAGCTGATAGAAACCTTAACACGTCCCGTGCCACGTGCACCATATATGGCACACGCCACTTTCTGTAAGAAAATATTTTTAACACGTTGAATGTCGTGGGGGTCACCGGTGACCAATCAAATTGAATAGTTCATTCAATTAAACGTTGATTTGACAACATTTCTATATTATAAATAATACTACCTATTGCGGTGACATTCAACTAGGTGAATATGCAATAATAATAGTACAATTCAATGAAATGATTTAATATTATATTTTTCCCATTTTGTGTATTTTGCTCTATGAAATCGTGCGGCGTTCAACATGTTAAGGGACACATGGTCATAGAGGGTATGCGTTACAAAGCAGCGAGAACAAAAGAACAACATCAAAATATATAGAAATTACCAAAAACTTGAATATAAGTTAATATTTTATGAAAAAAATCAATACAGTTTATAAGCAAACTATAACCGAGATTTCCGTGACACGGAACGTGTTAACCCTCTGTAGGTCCATGTAACTTTGAAATCACATATCAGTATATTGGCACCTTGTTGATTTATTTCATTCTGCACTCAAAGTGGCGAATAAAATTAAGTAATCAGTTAACTTAAACTTTTATACGTTCAGGCGTGAAAGTTTAACCCTTAGCAGTCCTATGTCGAATCAGACTCGACATTCTATTCTGTTGCAACGTCTACTTATTTTAACAATTTTTTCTATATTTATTTGTAGTATCACAATTGTACCATTTAAAGGTACCATTTCAATGACTCCCAAATATTCTTGGATAAATAAATGCGGGATGTTTAGTCTACCGATTAATTGCTAGTTCTACATTAATGTAACATTTTAGATATGATACTAATCCAAATTAAAATGACAGAATCGAATTCCTTATTCTTTTCTGCAAGTTACAAATTTCGGTTTGATTGATGTTTAAAAACATATTAATATAATCACCGACACTTTCGTTTTTAGTAACAGAAATTTAGCGTTCAATGTGTTAAGCTGTAATTGAATGAACTAACGTCGACGTGAACCTCAAAGTGAGAAGTCAAGATCACTTCGGACCGCAAAGTTTTAACGTAATTGTAACTTGAAAGTTGCAAAATATATTCGTTCGACGAAATTATTGAAAGTATCGAATGCATTGTTAATTCGTATTCATACGCGGATATTTATTAATTTTGTACTGTATAGATTTTGTTATAATAGTGAACAAAAATTCAGACCACAAAGGGTTAAGAAAAGTTTCGATGGTCGCCGTCTCGTTCGATTTTACCGATTCCAGGAGAACGAAATAAATCGCCGGCTAATATCCGGAATGGCGTAAAGGGTGTTACATGTCAGGACAATAACGGTCCCCTTAGGGGATGCACGTGTTCTTCTGATCTAATTCTGACGCGCTCCCAACAATGAACGAGCCCCATGTACCGCGGGTTTTGCAACGGGATCACGCCGCTGGCAGAAGTTAAGCGATTTCGTCACAGGGGTTTCCGCCTTTTTCAATGGTTCGTCGCTTATTAAGCAGATTTGTCACGCGATCTCCCTGCATTAGGGAAAACTCGGCTGCGAACCTGCTTCTTTCGGACGAGTACCATACGGATGAAGACAAGGGGCAGGAGCTAGACATCAAGAACGTCGGACGTTATTGTTTTCCCTTAACCCTCTATGGGCCGAATTTTTGTTCACGATTATAACAAAATCTGTGTAGTACAAAATTAATAAATATCCACATATGAATACGAATTAATAATATATTCAATAGTTTCAATAATTTCATCAAACGAATATATTTCGTAACTTTCAAGTTACAATGACGTTAAACTTTCACGCCTGAGCGTATAAATGTTACAGTTAACCGATTACTTCATTTTATTCACCACTTTGAGTGCAAAATGAAATAAATCAACAAGATGCCACTATACTGACTATACACGTGACTTCAAAGTTACATGAGCCTATAGAGGGTTAACATTAACCGTACCGACACTTTTCCTACCGTAACTGGTCAACTGGCTACGAACTAGAGATAAACAAATTAGATGATCAATGTTTCTTAGTGGAAACAGAAATAAAAGGAAGAATGAAAATTGAAATTAATCGGACAATATAGGAATTGATATAAAATTAAATAAACAAAAGAAAACGCAGAATTTTCAATGATTTTATTATAGAGTTATTCCCTTGTAGCAAGAAAAATCAGGTACAATGATTAATTATTTGGCGTTGCTATCCTTGCGTTGCACTATCATCAGCTTAGTCACGTTATTAAACATTTTAATTGGACATCCGTTATCTTGCATGTTATGATTGTTTCCAAGTAATTCAGAAGCGTCAGCCATCAATGACTGACACAGCGTGTAACGTGTTAAGGGTGGACATCGCGTATAGACGTCCTAAATATAAATAAACTTTAAGAATCTTTTGTTAATAACTAGTAAGTGAAAACTTCTGATTTTTTTCTGCGTGTATAACTGCAAGCTTCTGCTTTATATTTTTTCTAAACTTAAGTGTTACAAAACGGTGCAGTTATTCGCTAGTAAACTGAAACATCCGAAGACAAAAATTTTGGTGGATTTATAAACAAAAATTTCTCTGTATCTTAATTATTTAATTTTTTATAAATGTTAGAAGCTGATTTTTTGGGGTAAAAAGAGGCTTCTGCGCTTTGAATGCTTACCATTTCTATAATAATTAAAATTTCGGAAAATCCGTACGCTACATTTTAAATAATTGTTCGCCACGTTTACTCTTTGAATGGTTTCTTTTGTTAACATTTTCACTGTATTGTCGATAAAACTGCCGTTACGTAAAATATAAATACTATTAGTCGGTAGGTATTCCACATAAGAAAACTTGAAACACGTTTTAGGAATCGATTTTAATTGTATATTTTCTTGTGTTATGCAACAGGTGTGCAACGAGCGAAACAACGCAGGATAAATACAAGAAACAATCTCCTTGGTAACTGCCTGATCGTGATTTATGCTGAAAAATCTGTAAGTCACTAAACAAATAATTTTTTACTTTTTGAAACATCGGTGAAACCTATGGATGTCGTGGAATGCCTATTTTTAAAAAAATTAATGATTTTCAATAATTAATTAATACAATAGGTTGAAGAATTAATATCAAATTGTAATGATATATTTTTTTTAAACATTCAAAACTGAATGTTTCCTTCGAATCAGTTTTCTACATCTATGGGGTTCGCAGATCTTGGTCTATGGTTTTCAAACTTACTCAATTTCTAAAGATAAAAGAGGATATAGAAGAACACCGGTCTCATCTTTTTTCATTTTATTTATTTTACACTGATACATCTATTCTGAACATTTTTCAAACATAATTCATTTCCCCACAATTTATTTAAAGTGTAATAAATATATAACATTAATTTTTTTCAAATTATTTGCATGTACTTTTTAAGTAACTAAAATAGTAATTGTCAATTCTTGAGAAGTGTTTTAATATCAGAACTTTTGGAAAAGTATTTTGTAAATAACTTTTATCAAAAGAATTGGTAGTATTAAATATGAAAATAAAATAAACATTGTATTTAATTGAATTTGTAAAAAAAAAGATGCACGAAAATAAGTAATTACTCCAATTTCTGATCAAAACAATATTTCGCACAAACATGGTTTACTCAGTAAAACCGCCGGGTACGTGCTCGTCAATGAATTAAAATAACAATCTCAATTCCACATCGTTTAATTACAAAGATATAGAATGCTTCACTTAATATTATTTTCCTAAAGAATTTGTTCCTTGTTGGAATCGAAGAGTTAGGTGTCTCTTATAAATGAGAAGAAGCAGTGTCTTTGGTCAAGTTACTAAACAGATTTTTGTTTCTCTTTTATTGATTGAACGACGAAGAATATATTTCAAGCTATGAAATTAGGTGAAGCAATCTATACGCGTACATGCATTAATTCTATTATCTCTGCTACGAATATGAAGTGAAATAGGAACATAATAAATTCAATTTATGTAGCACCTTAAATATCCGATCACTTCAAGATTACAATTACATATATCTCTGCAACTTTTAACTATTTTTCAATATGTCCATAAGAAAAATAGCATATATCTTCTATTTCTTTGGATAATTTTGTAATGTATTTACACCGAAACGAATGCAGATTATAGAACAATTGCTACGTAGACAGTGTGTATATTTATACATATATATATGTTCAAATACTTCGTAATTCTTAGTGTTTGTACATTCACGGTAATTTATCTAGAGTATGTCTCAATTTAATTACATATAAAATAAATACAAAATGAATATTAAGTTGCAACAAGAAATAAAACGGTGTAGACGTATGTATCTCTGCTATTCTCCGCTTTGATTATACAAATGAGGTATCTTTTCATTTTGACAAATTACAAGAACTGTCAGTTAGTTCAACTCTATTCTAACGTTTAATTAAATAAACGTTTCTCCTTGCCTCCTCTTTTAATACAGTATGAACATTGCACCTAATTCATCTATAAAAATACAATCATAGTATACACGAACATCGTTTAAAGAAAATTAATTCCCTTATAATATTGTAAGTACTGGTTTGAATAGTCGGAAGGAGGAATGTTATAATTATTCAATTAGTTTGAATACTTTCTTTAAATCAGCAATTTAAATTATAACATTTTTTTAAAGTATTAATAGAAAGTTCCTATGTTTAAATAACTAAGATTAAAAGAATGTAGTTGAGAATTAAAATATTAAAATTCATCTAATAATACAATGCTGAACAACGATTTTGTCCCTCGCAAATAAAATGAACAAGTTGCGCAGAATCTATATTGTTGATCCATTATACACGTAATATAATTTTTTATTTATCTTCCTGATACTTGCTGATTCTATATGCAGATATATATGAATACGAAGCAACATCTGTTCAAAACTATATGCAAAAATTATATCTATCGCCATCTGTCTAAGATAGCTTTCTAATAATAAGGCACTACTTTTGAATGAAGTAATACTATTCAAAGTAAAGTTATTCTTTGTTTTCTTCGTGGACGTTGAAACCTATAGTCACGCTAGAACTATTTGTCAAACTGCTTGCCACAGTCAGAATTGGCTCTTCCAAATTTGCTGAAGGCGAGGTGGAAGGCTTTGTGTCCACCAATATCTGCTTCCAATCTTCCAAATCTTTGTCCGACATGTTCGATAAAGAACTTAATTTTGACATACATTTATAACTTAAGTTAGTCTCGGCCTTTGGAACAACTGACTTTGGGGTAGAAACGCTCTGTGATCGAGAAAAGTTCTTTCTCTTGTAAGTACTAGAGGAATGACTCTTTTCAACGTTGGTATCTTTACTTCTATAAAATTTCTCTGTATTGGAATCAGCTTTTTGAGAGCTAGGTGGCTTTCTTTTGTCGGAAACGTCTGTTTCTTTGATCCTGACGTCTTCATCTGTTATATCCATACTCTCAACCAGAAATCTAAAAAAGGAAGATGTAACACAAGGAAGTGAACTCCATGCGTTTATTTTAATTTCGCATACCGCAACACCAACCTTCCAATTTTTTTGCAACTGGTACTAGCTTTTGTGCTCGAACTCTCCTGTTGCTCAAATATTAGTTTAACATCCTGTTTCCTTTGCTCTTCAATTTGCTTCAACGTTATTGTACGATTCTCGTCGTCATCCATGTTTTCGATAGGAAGATCATCGGTGCATATAATTTTTTGTAAGTTACTGCCGAAGCCTGACCCAAAATTGCACTTTCGAATCTGCCCATCTTCACTACTGTAATAATCCGTGTATGACACGCTACCACGGCTTTCTCTGTGTTCTTGATCAATATTCATACAAAATTCGTTGAAATCCACATCTAGACAAGGAGTTGTAGGAAGTTTGGGACCCCTGTTGGAAGATTGTACTCTATAATGAAGCACACTGCGCTCTTTATGATTTCTTTCACTTTTCTTTTGTTTAATATTTTTCACTTACCCCTCGTTGCTAATTAAACTTATAGACATACTACATTCTCCTGCAGAAGTTGGAGCAGGGGATGATGGTTCAGATGATATAAATGATTGTGGTTCACTACTCCAACCAGTACCTAATTATATACAATCATTTAATGACGATAAGAATAGTAAGTTAAACTGCACACACTGTACACACTCACTGTTGGGACTAGTTGGCGATAGTTGGCTTCTTATATCGCATGGTTCCCCATCGTTTGAAGATTTGTATTGTATCGGAGTTGGAGTGATGTACCTAAGAGAACATCAATGTTTCTTTATCCAACTACTAATTATTACAAGTAAATGAAACGCAAAGCAGACATACAAATAACTACTTCAAAGTCAGTTTCACAAAAACAACACAACATATTATAGAAATAAAAAAAGTCTGAATACTCACAAAGGTGGTTTAGTTAATTTCTTACGGTACCTGACAGCTTCCAAGTCGGAAGAGTGGTACTCGCGACTGATTCCTCCAATACTGAGATTCTGATTAACAGATTCATGAGTCGATCCACCCGGTGATGGATATTTTGGAGGTGAAGAGGCTGGTGTTCGAAATAGAGGAGCACTGGTCATCATTTCCAAGAAAGAATCCAATTGGCGAAGAGACAATGCGTTGTGAAGCGTCTCCAAAGGTCTTATAGGTGGTACACCACCGAAACCTTCTATTGCTAAATAGAATAGGATTCAGTAAATTAGCAGAGCTCTTCTAAATTTCAGTCTATCATAATTACAATGGAAATTGAACTTACCAGCAACTGCAGATGCATGGGGAGGTACCATATCCTTCAAATTAGGAGCACTCGAGGATCCACTGATAACTGCTGTACTGAATAAACTGTTGGCTGATCCTGTCAATTTCTTGTTGATGTTGTAGCCCAACAGCTTGAAATAACTCATCTGTCCGGAGATACTGTGACGGTGGCGCCTTGCTGTGCAGGTAGGGTCAGGTTGAATGATCGAAGGTCGTGTGTCTGGAGATGAGAAGGATCTCTGAGGCTGGAGTCGGGAAAATGGTACACGTGGACACTTGGAACGATGGTTAGACTCACATGGAATATCATGATTGTCGCGAACATCATTATTGTGCATAAAGGACAAATGATAAAGCATACTGTTATGATCAGATACATCTACCAGGTTACTGTGCCAATGGAGATTCAAATTTGTGCAAGACCTACACCTGCGCGTTAAAGAACCACTGGTTGAAAAGTGTTCAGTCAAATACAATGAATCACCGGATAAAAGGTTACTTAAATTTGGACACGACATTGTTCCAGTTGATCGGCGAACTTTCTCAAGAGTAGAACCATTGCCACATATCTGTCTAACATCTTCCTTGTCGAACCTCCACTTCTGTCTTTCCTGAGGCGCTGGATGTTTACGCACAGAAGGTTGACCAGACGTTAACATAGAATAACTAAGAGATGTCAAGCACTGTCCTCTTGGAGACCTAACGGATAAGCCAAATTCTGGATCAAGATTGACTAATCGATGAAACTCTTTCGTATTCCCACAACTATTCGCATACGAGGCACTGCAAGAGGAACGATCACACTCTTCCTGATACAGACTTAAATAACAAGAACAATTAAAAAACTTATGAGATAACGAACGAGCGAAATAGGTATCAAAGTTAGAACGTTCTACAGGCGGAAGTTCCCTACTCCGTAGAATTAGCTCTGACACGTTACAATTATAACAAAGACATCTGGGTTGATGGACGGACAATGAACAAGATTGCTTCTGCAATCGGATCTGAGCACTTGTCAACCCTGAAACTCGTTCACGATGGAACAAATGGGAAGATTTTCTCCATGAATCGTCATACGCCGGTTTCATAGAACTGTTCAACTCACACGAGATGCAGGGAAGAGTAGCGTTTGCATGGGAACGTCCGTATTTCTTACTTCGAAAGCGCAGATGAGGATCAGCTTCCTCGGAATCGGTAGGGAGATATGCCGAGAGACGAATCGTGGGAACCGGAACTACGATGTTCATGATACCCGAAGTCCTGCTGTTCGGTGAAACTAAAGGGGTATTGTGTAATGTCACCAAGGGTGTTGAAGTGGAGGTTTCGACTGAAGGAACAGGTAACTCCGGTGAACTGAAGGAGTGCGACAAAGCCACCTTCCCCATAGGCACGTGCAGCAAAGCCTGGCTAGACATCTCTACTTGGCACTTTGTTGCATGCTTCTTTTCTGTGTGTTCCCATGCATTTGCATGAGTGAAACGATGCAGTTAGAATGAATAAATGGCAAATTTAGCAGCAGGACAGGGCACGAAGGAAGGAAAGAAAAGAAAAGAAAAGAAGAGAAATAGAGTATTAAATAAACTCATTGTTGAAGAAATAAAAGTAATCATTGGCAAGAACCTTTGGCTACGTCGATGATATAAGTTTTCTTTTTCTTTTTTCATTCGAATGCTTCCAGTACGATGGGAATTTCTTAATTTGAACATTTTATATTGTTTGAAGACGACGTTCCGAAGAAAGGATTCCTTACCAATGGAGGAGAATAAACTGACAGAAATGTAGAGGAAATGACTTATACTTTCATTTGTTTGCGATTAAAAGGAACAACTTTAGTTAGTGTTATACACCCATGGCACACGATAGCCATGCAACCAGTAGCCAACTAGACAACACTGACTCATTAACACAACACCATGATTAAGGATTCTCGTACCAATGACATTCGAATAGTCTGGGACTTCTTGTGAAATTATAACTTCTTTTATAAGAATTTATATTAAATACACAGTTATTTTGTTCCTTTGAAAATTTGATTGTCATTGGTACTTAATCCGAGAACACAAAACTTGATGAACACATTAAGAGTTTATATTGTTAATAATGAAAAATGACACTGCAGACAAAAATGTGAATACATGTAACACGAACTACCTATTATTGAATTAATGACATAAACACCAATAGTACTATTAAAATTAAAATTTCAACATTTTTGGAAAACGAATAAAAATATAAGGTGAAAAATATTATAAACAGATGAATACACAATGAAAATAATGAAATTCAGTTAACAAGTATGTATAAAGAACAAGCAGACATGATCTTTGAAAACAACTAAGTTCTGTTAATTTGTGAATCCCGATGGAACAGTGAGCTTAGGAATAAAGGAAACGGGAGGGCAACTGGATAAGTCACATTCTGTATGTAACTCAAACAGTTGCCGACATAAATTAGTTGGCTTCCACGCGCACAACTATCGCTGAGCAAAGAGTTATTCCAACTGAATTTTCCTTTATCTCTGTCTATCTTTGTGTGTTCTTCTTTCATATTTGATGAATTAGTTCTGTTACTCAAGCTCTGGCTCATAAGTTACATTTTAACCAAACAACTAATTTCAATTTTATTCCAATAACAATGCCTTGGTATCGAAACACTTGAAAATAAAAAATAAGTTTCAATCGTATGCTACAATACATAAAAAATCAATGTAATGAATACAAAAAAAGTGGTACATACAATACATAAAAAGAACATTGTAATATTAAGGAGTGAGCGTGACACTAAAGGATTACTATACAGTGTATATTTCATTCTAAGGTTACCGAGGGACAAATGCTTAATAAAAATATATTTGTGTATCAATAAATATACGAAGATGCTGCATTAATAGAAGGAACAGTAGAGAATGCAAATCGTAGCTGTCTATGTTGCAACTAAAGAATACTATTGAGAAAGCAAAGATCAGATTATCTAACAATCTAAATACTTGTAAGAAAGTAATAGAAAAGTTCTAAATCCACTCTATTAAGATGTGAAGATTCGAAAAATTGAGGCTTCAGATTGTATGGATTTAGATTTTACAAGAAACCTGCGACAATTATTAATTAAAGAAAAAAACGCTAACTCATTCTTTTCAATATCATCCTGCTATGATCATAACAGGAAGTCTGAGTGACGTACCTTCTTTGTTGACCGCGTCCAAGCTCTGATACTGCAGCTTGTCCGCAGCTATAAAAAGACATGAAAAAACACCACACTTTGTGATAAAAAAATTGATTTGTAAATTTCATTGGACCATTAAGTTCCCAAGAAATTGAAGTTAGTTTCCTTTGCAACAAAGTTTCACTAATTCATTCTAGCAGTACTTGACTCAAGGGATATGCAACAGCTATTTACACAGATATTTAACTCTTTGTTATATTCAAAAAGTTAAATAGTTATATCTATAAGTGTATATATAAGTTATATCTCCAAGTACTTATACCTACCATGCATGTAAAAAAAATATTAGCATTGTCTCAATATTACTTGAATACGATATATACACTACCGACAGAAGCTAAAATGCATTTCCTTTACCTTTCTCAGGTTTATCTTGTCTTTGATGGTCATAACTACGTGCACGTGGTTCAACGATTCCACCTCTTTCTGCATCGCGTCGTTGACGTTGGCTAGCAGCCAATTGGCTTCCGAGTCTAGCAGCCTCGTGTCCAGCTACTGTTCTAGCACTAAACGATAATTAATTAAATTATTATGGATCGAATATTCCGTAATTTATTTCTGCAGAGTTGAATGTCTGGTTACCTGATTGGAATTGGCGCAGAACTCTGTAAGAAACCACTATCGAAAGGTTCATCCATCATATTAGGATCCAAATCCATCATATCAACAGCTCTGCTGGTTGTTGGACTGTCCATCATTGAATCTACTGCATCAGTTTCTATCATAGGTGGCGGAGTATCCTTAAAATTAAAATAAAAATAAGAGTAAACGTGTGAAACACTTTAAATGCTCCGTAAATAGAATTAATATGTACGGATTGGACTGGTGGATTCATAAAATCATCATCTGAAATTGCAAATTCCACATCTTCTTCCTCTATTCGTGCACTGCACTGAGAAATCGTATCTTGAGTGGAACCACCACCACTTTCACCCTAAAAATACAAACAATACAGTATAGAATGTTTTAATGATTTCTGAAGAAAATAATAATGCTAACTTACAATATTATGACTACTTTCATTCCGTGAATGAGGTCTGAAACCTGGTCCTGGTGGTAAATTTTTTTGTACGCAGCAGTTCACGCCAGGACTAAAATGCAACTCGACATGGAAACGTTCTTCGCTGCTGGGGTCTTTGGTTGGATCTTCGTATAACATGACTACAATTTGTGACATGTAGTTCAATTCAGAGACCATGCTAACGTACTCCATTGCGCGACGCCATTGCTCGTCTTTTACTACCTATAATATTTAAGAAGAGTAAAAAATGCAAAAACCGATAAATACTGTTACGTACATCGAGTAAACCACCGTAACGTAATACTGTCAGTAAAGAGTGTACATGACTTTCACTCGTAAAGTATAATCTTGTGCGTACGTGTCGACCAGGACTCGAGACTCCGTGAGAGTATCTAGAATATTTACAGAATTAAATGTATAAGGAATATCCAAACTATTATGATACAAATGAAATTATACCTTGGATTGAGTCGATTGACCGTTTCTTCTCCAGACTCTTCAATATTTCTTTGCAAGTCAGCTCTAATCTTTTTCAAAAGCGGAGTGCAAATACCTTGTCCTATAGTTAGCTTCTCTTGCACCGTTAAACCGTATTCCTATTAAATAGTGGTTTATTTATTAAAGGATCAAGTAACAATAGATGAAAACAAGTATCATTGACACTAGATTTACGGATATTTACTGTATAGTTTGTTCTATTGTTCTTAGAAAGATCAATATTCGTTTATTTAGATTTTAGAAATTATAGGGTTAAAACTAGACAATTAATATACATTTGTGTAACTGTAAAGTCGACTAAAACGTTTACCAAATAATGTTTATAAAATTCAATATGAGTCAAATTGACTCGTTCCGTAAATCTAATGTTAAGATTCTTACCTGTGGTATGACAATGTCTGCCAAATATTTCGAATAAATATATAATTCTTCTGCATGTTCGAATTGCAACGTATGATTGTTATGTTGCAAATCATATTTAATGCAATCGTAAATATCAGGGATTTTTGATATATCGAATCTCTTGTTCTTAGTGCAAAAATCCTTCTCGATCTTTCCCCATCGACGACCCATTAACTCCCAAGTTTCACCATGATAAAGAATCGCATCTAAACGTACATCTCGCATAAAGTTTGCAAAGAATGCTTTCTTCTAACATGATGTAAATACATACCTTTCGTCTTTGCATCGTCTTTTTTAATCCTGACAATGTCCATCAACTTCTGAATTAAGATATGTACATGCTGACAACATCGGACAGGATTCTTAACAAAATCCATGGCTGCATTAATACTCAATGCGTTCCCAGGATTTATTTGTTCCCTATCTTCGCGAGTAAATTCTCTATCCTGTTGCAATAACTCGTGCAGTCTTGTCTTCACCCTAGAAAAAAAAGGTGCACTCATAATTTCTTGAAATTTGTTACGTAATATACCTTAAAATTTGATATGTACATGTTTTGATATTTACTGCTATCACAATCATTATCCAAAAGACCATTGGTATTAGCACTTTTGACCATTTGTACTAATATCGGGGTTAATTCGCCTTCCAATGCTAGTAAGCCTTTTGCAAAAGCTGCAGCAGTCATCTGAACTCTGCCTTCGTCGCTGGCATAGATTTTCAGATCATGCCGGAAAGTTGAATGAAGTCGAAGCAAACCTAAACCTTGAGCACCAGCATAATCACCTATATTTACACAAGAAAATATTTCAGAAAAATTGAAATGATAAAATGGAATCGAAACATATTTTTCAATCTCGAAAAAATATAGAGTACAAATATGATTTTACAAATGATCTGTGTTCTGGTAAAAAGATCATTGCTAAACATTGTAAAAATTGTTGATCGTACATTGATTTCTGTACAAATGACAGGTCTATTTGTTCGTGATACAATGGTTGACTTGTATGGATAAATTACATTACACTAAATCTGTTCACCCTATTGATATTTGAATATTTACTTTTCGTTTCCACAAAATAAATGGAAATGTCCAAAAATTGTTTAAAATGGAATGAAAACATGTATATACGAATGTACATTGCATGTGTGTAACTTTGCATGATGTTGTATGGACAGTGAAACACTACTGACAGAGTTGTTTAACAATAAAATAGATACATTTAATGCTGTACAGGCAACTACCATCAAATTAACAGCTATTCGTTGCAATGTTGTCGAGTGAACATATAGTCAGCACAGAAACAGAATTATACACCTGGCACAAATTTCTAAATGTCTTAATATTATGAAGAAGTAATCGAATGCACTATTACTATTTCTATGCATTATAACATGATCTACAGTCAACTACAGAACAAGCATTGATTCAAAAATTAAAAGTTACCGTGGTTTGGTAACATCTCTGAGTCTTCCTCTGAAATAATATTTGAAATTGTTTATGAATCAAACATTTTCGTTAAAAAAAAAGTTAGTTATTTGCTACCCATTTAACTAAGACAATCACAATTTAAATAGATGAAATTAGAAATATCACACGCTTCATTAGTTCTCTTAATATTAAAAAAAAAGACATACTTTAACATACATATACACTATGCAAGTTACAGCAATGTTATGCGTACGCTCGATCGAGCTATTGAGGCGGAAAACAGACTCACTTGTACCAGTCAACTCGTGGAACTTATTAAAGGAATAATTCTTTTATGACGCATATATATGAATTAACTTAGAAATGATTATGACAAGCATATGAACATAAGATACGAACCACTAAGGTGTCTACCTTGACCACCAGGGTACATGCAGCGAAATATTCTTCCTAATTCCTCCGCTTGAATACGTCCAGCGGGTGTTAACTCTCCACCCCATTTCAGGATTAATACAAGCGATGGCTCTCCTAGTCGATCTAGACGAAAACGTATAAAATATAAATGTTTGTTGATACAGAGTTCAATAAAAAGAATGTGTTACTTTTTGTACCATCATCCGAAGAACTACCCCTTGGTCGTCCCCTGGGTTGATATTTCATTTGTACCTTACGATTAATCCCTGAGAAGTGGCCATACCTGTAATAGAGTACTTGTTAATTTACACTACTTAAAAAGTTGAAAATAATACTAAAAAATAATTATAACGATTGAAATAACACGTAAACAAAAAAGCATAAAATACTTGCATTTCTAAAACGCTTTTTAATTGTTCAAGTTTCCCTTGTTTCTCTTCCAATTCTGGTCCAGCAGCTCTATGCTGTATCTCTGATAATAAACTACGAGCGGTGTCTAATATCTCTTGCAATTGTTTAGGCCGCTTTAACTTGATGTGGCCATGTTTATAACCATCGTATTTTGCAAATATTTCAAAGAATCTAATCCAAGCGGGAAATAATGGATGATGGTATTTTTGTTTAAACGTTTAGTATATCCTAAGACTACGAGAACTTACTTCGGATGACGGACTTCCACTTTCATTTTTTGTTTCGGGGTTCTATCACCGTGTCTTATAACAGCAACAACGCAACGCAACTCCATCCTGCAATAATATAAAAATATTATTCCGAAATTGTAATTACGAAATGGAAAGACTGAAATATACGTTGACTAACATTTTCCCAAATGTAGTAGGGACAATTGGCGGATCGTCCAACTGAAAAGGAACACTCCACGGAATATGCAAAGTAGGTGCTAATTCTCTGAGGATCATATTTCCCAAAATCTTCGCACAATCGTCGTAATATTTATTTGAATTTTTTACAAAACTGAAACCATTCACGTCGCAGACGAACGACTGGCCGTTTGCTCTGAATTAATAGAGGGTTTTCTATTATTGATTTATTATCATATTTCGACTCGGTCGTAACGGAGTTTCCGCTTACCTAAGTAAGTCGAAACCACAAACTGTTTGCTTGAACGCCAAGCATACTTTCCTGCTTATTAATTTCTCAGCATTGCTTAATATGACAGGATACCGGATTTCTTTTCCTTCTGAGTCTCTCTCGACTTTACCATCTAACGCAGGACTTTTTCGTGCCTCTGCATGTGCATAATCAGGTCCCACTGTGTAAACTTTAACATCTGTCCCATCGGTGGGCATGAAATCTTCGTATATGTAAGAACCTGTTTTACGTACTCGAGACTCTGGCGAATATACGCTACTGCGACTACCAATCTGTGATACAAGTTAAAATGTAATGACACTTACGGTCCTACAACTTATTATTAGTAATACCTTTCTGAATAATCTCTGACTGCCCCCTCCTGCAGATGTAGGATAATAAATATAAATGTTATGGTCTTCAGCAGATACTGGCTTTTCTACAAATGGTTTATTGAATGTCACACCATTGACCTCCACATGATCCTCCGACTCCACCAGTTCATGATCTAAACAAATTTTTCTATATACATATAAAAGAACTTATGTAAAACTAAACGGAAATATGTATTACATACGTTTCGGATCAGACGAGTCTCTATCTAAAACAGCATATCTTGGAATTTCGATACCTTCACTGCTTAAAATAGCATAGACCCTTCTACGATCCTATAACATAAAATTATAGCTGAATCAGTAATGGATTGTCCTTCTAATAAATTACTACATTTTAGTTCTCACAATCTACTTACTTGAATATCATATTGCATTGGTAGATTATTAATGATGAAAGGATTTCTAAGATTAGCATAACTTATAGCTTTGTCAAGGGGAAAGCCTTTACTATGGAAACTTATTAAACAATCAACAATTGGCCAATCTTCTACAGATTCCTGTAAGTGAGCATACTTTCATGTAGAATTGAATCGATGAATCTTATATTTATTTTTTCTGTTACCTTTAATATAACTTCTTCAGGAAATACTACTATTTTAATGTACTCAAATTCTTCTAATCGTGTCAAAATTTCTTTCATCGGTTTACTCTGCGACTTTTTCGCCATCGCACAGACCCCAACCAAGACTTGCTTCCCTTCTCCTTCCAAATCACTGCCACCCATGCATCCATCATCATTACTACACCCGTCCGACAGTTCGGCCTAAATAATAAATTTTTATCATATAGCTTATGTCAATCTTTTTTATTATTGTCCATATTACTTGTTCTTTCCTTTATGTAAAGTTATAAAAAATTAATGGCAACTAATTTCCTAAAGTAACATGATCATGTTTGTTAGTATTTATAATATTATATGCTTGAATAGGTTTGTAATATCTCTTGTTACTATTCTTTTTATCAGAATATATTGAATTTTTAGAAATTAAAAATAATTATGTTATTATTACGTTTATATGTTAAGATATATTATTAAGTGAAATAATAAGAAATTTAACAAAGTGAATTTCAATTTTATTCAATTATTAATATCTAGCTACTTTCCAATTCTTCAGATGTTAACAGTATTACTTGGATAATTATGAACATACTAAGAAATGAGTACAAGCAAACACAGAGCTCTTCGCTTAAAGGCAAAGTAAAAAATGCGCCATTAAAACATCTGATTTCACACAGCATATATATAGTTCCGAAATTACATAAATAAAAACAAGTAGAAATCACTAAATGGTATTAATAACAAAAGTTATAAAATATTATAGATTAATATAATATTTTAAATATATAAAAGTAATATATAAAAGATTAAAATAAAATCAGAAAAATACAACTCTACCATCATTTGCCAATATGGTTCTGCTTCGTTATCACAATCAAAGATATAGACATCGGGAACAGCAGTACATGAAGAAGAATTTACGTTTTCCATCATAGATTCCAGTTCAAACCATGAATAACTATATATATATATATACTTGTGTCTACTAGTGGTAATCAATTTTTTCAAAAATTATAACTAAAACACATTATACTTAATGAAAAAAATGAATATACTGCATTACTTATAACAAAGATAATAATACATTTGTACTAAAAATATTAAAATTCAACATACTTTCTGTTCGCCTTCAAAAATGCAGCTACTAACAACATTACCACAAAAGTATATGTCATTTGATTTAATTATAGATATACACTTTTTAAGTATGTAATTCATTTAGATAACAATGACCTTCTAGTTCAATTCACATTAATCACACAGTAAACACATGGAGCACATAAAACACAAATTTATACACTAGTTGTTTTTAAATATTGTTGATAACATATATTTATTAATTTAGGCTGTAATGCGTAATATGGGAAAACATTAATCGTGTAAAGTGTAATAATTACATGTTACACATGCTTTTTAAGAAGAATCCAAAATGCATCTAATACAGGCTTTATGCCAATTTATTTTTAGATTAGTAACTGCTAAGTGTTTCTCGTTTTATAAATTATTAAATTATTTCTGAGTAATCGGTGAAATAGGTAAATTTTGTATAGCAATAAAAAAATTATTATACTTAATTATGAAATATATTCACATTTAATACAGAACATGAATTGGTTAAGAGGTATTATATAAACATTCCATCTCAGTGAAAACATAGTTATAAGTAAATAATTTTATCATTATTACGCACATTTACAATACAGAATAATAAATGCGAGTAATTAATATATTTCGCTAATTCTGAATTTATTTATACTACAAAATTTATTTGTGTTAAACATTTTACTTGTAAAGTATACATGTGGCACTAAATATTATTATAAAGCAAATTTTAAGAAAACAATATTTTCTGATAAAATTATTAAAATTTGAACAGACTATATTAATAGTTATTAATAAAATTAATTGAAAAAAATATTGCTTATCTATGTTACGTTACTAATAACATTACATATTGTTGAGAAAAAGAAACATGTATCTGTTCACGCACACATTGTAAATTATTAAGTTAAATAAGTGTTATGTTTCCTTAAATAATATTATACTCACTCTTTTTGATAAACGATATATAGAAGAAGCAACAGGACCCACAAGGGTTGGTTGAACTGTGTTTAAGTCGCCTACATAAAAAATTGGTCGACTGGCATTCCGTAGACCCTATTAATGAATAATTATTCGGTTAAAATAATTTTGCATGTTACAAGTAGATGTTACTACCATTTACCTGATAACCATGTTCCAATTCAGTGTAAGACATGACAGAACAGGGTTCATTGAGGAAAAGAGAACTGCTCAGCTATGATTCAAATAATTTACTATAATCTGAAACAATCGCATAATAATCTCATAATTTAACTGTACAAAAATCATATTATTCATTTCTGTATTCAGAATTATTATTAATGGAATTAATTAATGTTTAATGATTAAGCTTAGAAACATTTCCTCTTAAAATTATAATATTCATATTACATTCAAACTATTAATGTATGTTATTAACATTAACTTATTGTTTATTGGATATATTTGTGACTTGTATTTATGCATATATGCCTTAAAGAATAAAAGGTAACCTCGATATAGAAATTACTATTAAAATTCTTATACCGATTAACCCTTAATGAATATATTATTTAGGAAAAAGAGTGGAACATTTAGTAAACGAAGGAAAAATTAAATATCGTTAAGTACATTTCAATTTCGCACAATGATATTAATTGACATTTGCTTATTTATTTCGTTTTCGTAAAGATTCTGTCGATATCTTCTGCTAAACTTACCAATTTCGCTTATAGATTAATTTACTGTCTCAGCTTTTTATATGACAATGACGATTTAATAAACAATTTCAAATCTCTATTCGATTTTAAATTCTTATCAAAGTTCTTCAATTTTCGGACATCTTGTCAAACTTGAATCTCGATTCCTCGTATCGTTGAGTCACATATCCGGTTAACACTATGAATCAATATAACAAGCTAGTGCGAAATTTTAAATTACTATTAAATAATAAAGTCCTCTCAACTTATATGTGTTTAAACTGTACATAGATTCCTTATAACCGTTTATATTTACACCTTTTAATACAGAATTTAGTAAAGGAAATAGAAAAAAAGCCTATGATATAGGTGCATTAATTTTATTTAAAGTTCATTTATAAAATTTTATTGCGTATTTACATTGTAGTACTTTCGCACAAATGCATAACAAATTTTATGTAATCGCTATAATAATAATTGAGCAACATAATGATGATTTAAGTATAACGTCATCATTTTTATATTATATATCAAACAAAAGTATCATTTAAAAATGTAATTCAATATAAGACATCTACATGGTAAATATAAATTATTCAAATAAAACAACGTTATTTCGTTAAGAACTTAACACTCGCTACAGTAGGTTTTAGTAAAAAATTTAATTCAATGTTTCTTTTCTGGATGTTAAGCCTGTAAAATCTGTTTCGATTGTTCACTTATTTTTATTTGCGTTTTCCCTAATTCTTTAATACGAGGTACATAGGTGAGTTTTAATGATAATAACCACTTAACCGATTAGTAATAAATGAAGGAACTATATACAATGTTTAAAATCCTAAAAACAATACAGTAATGCTGCAGTTTGCAGAACGGAAGTGATAACAATTCGGTAACAATTATAGGTAAAAAAAAATAAATTTTTAGTCATAGCCATGGTCTCATTTTTTTTCTACTAACATTCATTTAACTCTGCTTTTTCTTGAATAAATTATCATTGAATATTAAGTGTATTGTATATTTCGTTACATTATTGCACTAAGTTTATTTCCTTTTTTTAAATTCGTTAATCTTCAATTCATAATATATTATAAACATTATTTGTCTTTACGAAACACAAAGATATACATATATTATTTGTATTATGTATATACATCTTTTTGTTGTAAAAGCTAATAATTGTACGAATATTACTCATCAAATTGTGGATTATAAATAACTTACGCAAAATTATAAAAACTAAATTATCCAAACATACAGGTTTCGACCGTATAAACGTGAAAATTTGTATGCAAAATTTGTACTAACACCTTATGCATTTAAATATTACTAATGGCAAAAGCCTGCCATTTATTATTCAAGATAATTCTTTGAGCCAAACGAATTTTGGATTTTTTTCAATTTCGCCAGACTGAAGGAATGATATCACTTGTTTTTAACATTTACTATTCAGTCATTTATTTCCTATTTGTTTTCAGCCCATGGCTAGACATTAGACGTCATTGTGATTTCATTGATACAAGTTTTCGTGCACGTGCTCGTGCTTCTGTGCGAATATTTGTATATTCAAACCAGAGAATATTGGGAATTAATGTTGTATCTCGTAACAGTAAATACTCTGATATCCGCCTAAAATGAAATGTCACATTATGGTACATATATATATATATATATATACATACATATATATTGTAAACAAGATAAAGTTTATAAACATCATAGCATACCATGAAACGATATAAGGAAAAACTGGTATAAATACTGCATGCATTATTATAAACCATACTACTCCCAATATAATTCCTACAAGTGCACCACATAGGACTTGAGAAATAGTATGATATAATAAATAGACCCTACTATAGGTCACTAAAAGAGCAACAATTATGCAAGCAGTCATAGTAATAATTCTCCAGAATCTTTCTGACACACTGTTATTATTGTTATGGTGTAACCTAAGAGTAGAAAGACAATTAAAAATAATTTTTTCTAAATACTAATTCAGAAAAGTATAAATTACCTAATGCATATAAAAAGTGTGGCATATGCAGCAAAAAACCACATAAACTGTGCGTGCGCTGATGGCATACCATATTCAACAAAAATAACATCACGCCTCATTGGTCTTGCTTCACAAATTGTATGTTTCAATACAAAATTTATGAAGTCATTTATTATAATTCCACTAAAAAATGTAATCTGAAAAGAATAAAAATAGAAATTTAATTTCACTTGTAAATTCAAAGCAAAGTTATTTATTCCAAGGTATTTACTTACCGTTTGCAAATCTCTTCTAAATAATATCAATGTTACAAAACCAGCTATAATAGCAAATGGTACTAAACTTATTAAAGCTAAGAATTTCCCAAAAAGATCACCTGCAAGAACAATAATCAAATTAGAAAAAATATATAAACAAAAATAAGAATAAACGCATAATATTGCTTCTAAAAATACAAAAATAATTGAAGTTTTGCTGTTGCAACTTTTTGCCAAGAATATAAGAACTTTCTAATTTACATTGTGAGT